GAAATGAACTCAACTGTTTAGAAGAGAAATTGAAATCAGTTCAAGAAAGAGATAATAAGGTACTGGTAATGATTATTAAACAAGGTTTTTCTTTTGTCTCATTCGATACTTCATGTGATTACTGTGTTTACAGAGTCAATGTTGTGAATTTCCGTTCCATATTGGGTTTTTCTCTGATTTACTACATTTGAAAGTCATGAAAATGGAGACAAATTCTCAACACCGATTTTCAAAACTTCTAAAACCTTTACCTTGACCCTGTGTAAAAAATAGCAGGGGTTTATTACCTAACACTCACTTTCTTTGTCGATGATTTTTAAAGCCGTTCAATAAAATTTATAAAGAGCATGGAATTGAATTATTAAATATATTTACACTGCTAACATCGTTGTCCATCTTAGTTATAAAGTTGTGAATATTGTCAGTATGATCTCCACTTCTGTGCATGAGATTCGGATACCAAAACACAAAACAAAATATTTATTGTGTTTATTATATTTTATCACTTTATTTTTCTATCCAGACTATGAGAGAATTAGAAACACAGCAGCGTGAATTACGAGAAGAACTAGTTCAATCTAATCAACTTAGGAAACAACAACTAGTTGAACTTGGTTTATTACGTGATGAAGAAAAACAGAAGTTGCAGAGAGATCATCAAATGGAGGTATTGATTTTATGAATGATTGTGTTTATTGAAGGAAATAATAAATTTAGATACCCATAAAATATCATCACAGATTTCTTTTTTTGAAATTATAAATTCTTACATATGTATTATTGTTGTGTATTTTTCAGTTAACAAAATTAAGAAATGAATCAGAGCAACAGAGGTTAGAATTACAAAAACAACATAGTAGTGAAATGGAACAAATGTTACAAAAGGTGATTGATACACTTTTCTTCTTATGGTTCCTTTTATCTGAAAGAAAGGAATAACTAACTGTCTTTCTTCAAGGTCTCAAAGTTCCTGGCCAAAATATTAATTGTTAAATGTAAAAACTCAGCTATAAATAAAAGAAATTGTCCTGCAGGGCATAATACAGTCTGACAGTTAATATAGTCAAATTGTCATCAAAAGCTATGTCACCTCAATATCTTATATTTATTGCCATTTAAGTTGAATGTTTTGTAAAGCTTTACTTTATTGTTTTAGACCAATAGTAGATTAAAAGATATAGAAAGAGAAAATAATGATAAAGTCAGCAAATCAACCGAGGTAATATTTTATTATTTAACCTTACTTATTGATTTAAGATGAAATTGTCACATATAAGAAATTTTTATCTGATGCTATTTCTTTAAATTTCTATGTTATCCAGATGTGTTCTATAGATGAATTTTATTTTATTTTTTAGACAATAACCATGTTACAAGCTACCATTGATCATCTTAGAATAGAGATAAAAAGGTAACTAATTATTTGATTAGATGATCAACATAGCAGTAAACTCGACAAAATTTGTGCCAATGGAAGTTGTTTTGTTCATGGTTAACATGACAGAAGCTAGACATCTGAACATACAAGTGAAGATTTTTTTCCTATTTCAATTTGAATCTTCATCACCAAAATCAGTGCTTGACATTTTGATGCATCCAACGAATTTTAAATTTGCCTTCTTTAGTTAATAAGTTATTAAAATGATTTAATATATATATTTGTGTTGTAATAGGTTAAAAGAGAGTAATGATAAGAAGTTAATAGAAATTGAAAGTTTACATGAAGAAGAGAAGAAATCAATACGTAAACAATTCTCGGGTAGTATACAGGTAAACTAAATGTTATATTTTAATTTCAACATTATTTGTCTATCTACATTTCAACCTTTCAAATGATTTCTTCAATCGTTTTCTGACAGACCTTCTTTAATAGATAAATTTTTTATTATTTTTTTCTTTATTTTATGACAGAAAATTCAACATGAATTAGATGTACAGAAAAATAAATCAAGAAGTTTAGAAAGAAAATTACAAAAAGAAGAAACAGAACATGAAGAAAAGGTACATCAATTTGTTATCATGTGTCTTTATGTAGACCTTTAAATACATAATTTCTACAACATTGAGAAAAGTTGAAAAGCTACATGGCTTAATTTATCTTTTTGTGTTCTTTTAAGGCATATTCTACAATCTCACCTACTCAAGCAGAGATATAATCTTTTTCTTATAAAGACTGTTTTGTATATGTAAATAATTTCAAATGATTTATTTTATTATGGAATATGTAAATGATAAAACTATTAAAGTTCAATTTGTCTAATTCTAGATAACCAAGTTAAAGTTAATATATGAAGATAGATTAAGAGGATTAATACCTTTAGAAGTTAGACAGGTAATTTTCTTGGTCACTCTTTTTTGTTGGTAAAATTTTTGTAATAATTCCAATGTCTTATATGATATAATTATCTAGCTGATGCTTCATTTTCTGATTGAGATTATTTCATCTACCTGAATATGATATACATATAAGAGTTGTAACAGAATTCAGATATCTGCAGAAACACCTTAATCATAAATTACAAGCATAAGTTCAAAGCAAGATAAAAAATGCACTGATAATAAGCTTGTCCTCTATTTTCTGTCTATGTTAGTAACAGTAATTAATGTAATATTTACAGGAACTAGAAGAAACTATAGAAGCACTGAAATCTCAGGTGAATTCCTTACAACAGAGAGCTAGAGTTTTACAAGATGAAGTAGATAATGGAATGAATAATAGACAATATAATAATTCAACACCTATTATTAAAGCAGTGTAATATACAATATATAATGCATATCACAGTGCTTCCTTTAAATACCTTGTTTGAAAACCTAATGGCAGGCAAATTCCAAAGGCACCAAAAAGTTAACTCTGTCAAAAATTTTCTCAGAATGTGGCATTTTTGTTATAATTTTAATGATCAAATACACAAATACAAAGAGACAATATTTTGAGTTGCTCCAAGATATTTTTTATAATATATAATAACATAACGGTACATTTTAAAGAGGGCATAAAGATACTAAGTAATGTTTAGTTGACTGCATGGCTGTATAGATGCTGATTAGGTGAACAGAAAACTGGTAGAGGAAACCCATGGATTAAGCATTTCTGCAGATCAAAGTGATATTTCCTATCAAACAATCAATCAAAATTACATGCATTTATCATATTATCGCCAATTATTTTTTAATTCTTTTTTGCATATTTCACATTTTGAACCACAATATACATGATGGTCCAGGACTAGCATTTCTTTTTCCTGTCTATCAATATATGAATATTCATATTTTCTTTATATTTTTTTTGCATTTTTGAATCAAAACACAATCAGTGGAATCTTCCTGATGTGAAGAAATCTTTTGCTCATAAAGCATTTTCATGCTAGCCTTTATTTTCACAAAATAAATATTTCAAAAACATTCCAAACACTAATCACAAGAACCAGAGATCAAATACTTCTAGTTCTAGCTCTCTTCCCTCCGGATTAATTGTGATACTTAACCTTTTCTAATCCTAAAGCATAATATATAGTTTTATAATTAATTATCTATTTATTTTCTGTTAGTTTGTATTTTATTTAGTATTTTGTATGTTGTATATAATCTGATGCTGTATTAAACTAAGCATTGTTATAATATATGGCCTTGTTCCAATCTGATTTAGCTGTTCTAGCTTGTTTTAGTTGATTAAATATTAATGGATCTCACAAGCAGCTCTTGACTTGAGATGCAAAGATAAGGGTAGGGTTGAAGGGTTGGGGTTCTGACTTCTATTCAAAATGCTATGCTGTGAAGGACTTGTGGATTTAACCTCGTGCAAAAGAAGATGGGAACTGACTTGATCCAATCCCAAAAAAAATTCAGTCAAGTTATTCAATCAACCCTTCATCAAAGAAAGACTTCATTGCCACCATATTGTTTTATGAAATATGACCAAAAATAGTTATCTAACCGTTGATAAGGATATGTAAATAGATATTGTTTAAACATTTTGGGTACAAGTTAGCCGTTAAGTTGTTTAGTCTAGTCTTAAAAAGATCTCACGAAAAATTGTTGGGTTTACAACGATTAGGTCATAAAAAATTAATTGTGTCTTTCTAATGGTTCTACCTTTTTAATCGAATTATGGCCATGAATTTTGCGGGTAGTTGTATTACAATGACCGCTCCCTGAGAAATCCAAGATGTCAGCGCCCAGTCAGTTCAGAAAATCCAGTAAGTTTTATTCAATTAATTAGTAAATCAACCTCTTAATGGATTTGCAGGGCTATTAAAGTCAACGAGAAAGGTCTGCAAGGTGAAAGGAGGGATGAAACTTGTTAATTTCTTTGACATTTTTAGTCAATGCACCAGTTGCAACCGGATAAGTTGAGCGCAATCGGACTCGTTTATGCAAATTGCACATTTTGGCCATTTTTGCATGCATTTGTGGCAGTTTTTCTCAGTTTTTCTCAACTTTTACTCCCCGAAATAATGCATTACTCGTTTATATTACGAATAGCCATATTTGGACATGCATTTACTTTAGGGAGCTATCATTTATCGATACTTTGAGGTTGCAAGAGTTGGAGAAGAGACTCTAGGAGGTGGGAAAGAATGTCCTGTCATGAAATTATAAATAACTTAATTGAATTCAACAGAAAATAATATCCACGTATTAAAAATAATTGAAATATTTTTAAATTGTCTTCCACTCACTATGCCAGTAATGGCTATATAGAAGCTGATCAATCTTTACATGCTCAGCTGTAGTATCCAACACATTATTTCAATTTCATAAACCTTTTGACATAAAAAATCAGCCAACCTGGGAGTTTTCACACCTTCCCTTTTAAACAATCATCATTTTCCTTGTCTGTCTATTTCAATTTTCAAGGAAGCCAAAATGGTCAAAAAGAATTTGAAAAAAGAGAAAAGAGAAGGACGATACGTAAACTACAAGATGCCATTGGAGAAAATGATATTTTACTGGTGAAAGAAATTCTGACTGAAAATTTTGATGTTGATTTTCAATATAGAGGACAAACTTCATTACAGTCTGCTGTAAAACTGGGTTGTTATGAGATATGTAAATTACTGATTGATGCTGGTGCTGATGTCAATATGGCTGATGCTGAAAGCAATTCATTACTTATAGTAGCTTGTCAAAATAATCATAATGATATAGCTGAACTATTGATACAGTATAATGCTGATAGAGATTTTCAGAATTCTGATGGTAATACAGCTCTAAATATTTGTGGATGTGATGGAAATGTGACTATTACTCAATCTCTATTAAATATGGGATGTGATGTTAATATTTGTAATTATAAAATACAATCCCCTGTATATACAGCTTGTTATTATAAACATATTGAGATTGTTAAACTGTTAGTTAATGTGAAAGACTGTGATATCAACTGGGGCGATGTTACTCATTGTACACCTTTAATGTTAGCTTGTGAAGTTGGTTGCCTTAAAATTGTCCAGCTACTGTTACAAGCAGGTAAGGATTTAATTTTTATCCAGATAAAGCAAATTTCTCCTGTAAGATCAAAAGCACACCATATACAGAATTCTGTTTATGGCCAACAGATTCTGATAAGGTTTCAAAGGATTAAAAATGGATGCAAGTAATAACAACTAAGACTAAGAGAGTGTTATCAAGGGTATATAAGGTACTTTTGGGAACTGATGGGTCTGACAGTTGGATTCTTTCTTGCTTAAAGCAATACCAATTGTTATATTAGCTGACATGAAAAAACTTTAAATGTGTGGATGGGACAATAAAAAGAAGCTTTGTGCTACAGGATAAAAAATGAAACAAATTGCTACTTGCTAATTCCACTGCATTATTTCTTTTACTAATTTATTATCATAAGCCTTACATAAAGGAACTCTTCATAATGAGTATTCATAGAGCTCTTAAATATATATACCGGTACAATTATTGTAGAAACTTATATTTCAGGTTGTGAAGTAAATAAACAGAATAGAACTGGTGAAACAGCTTTATATATTGCCTGTGGTAATGGTAATAATGAGATAGTACAGTTATTATTATCATATAAAGCTGATACAAATATCTGTACAACTAAAGGCTATACACCATTATTAACTGCTATCAGAAATAACCATGTGACTGTGGCAACAACTTTAATACAAGGTGGCTGTGATGTCAATAAAGCTGATCGCTTAAAATTAACACCCTTACATGCTGCTTTAAAACAAGGTATTTATAGCAGAAAAATTTGACTTTAGATCATCATCATAAAAAGAAAATTGCACAGACCTAGAATCTTGAAAGAACCTATGAACCTAGATGAAGATTATGTTCAAATTTGAGCTATTAGAATATTAACCTCAGTGATATTAACCCCTGTGATCTTGCTTATGGAATATGCTATACCTCCTTCAGTTTTCTACTAATTTTCACTAAACTTGGGTATGTCTTATTATATATATGACTAAATAATGGATATCATGTGAAAAAGCTTCTCGGTTCACCAACCATGCTGAAGTAGATGTGTTTGATGTGATACACTATCCTTACCTTTATCTGGCAATTCTCTCTTTTTTTTTTTTTACTCAGTTACAGTTGTTTAAGTACAATATTATGAGCTTTGCAATGCTATATTTCAACATTATTTATTTCAGTTTCCCAGTATTTTGATCCTGGTCCTAGTAAACCTATAGAATTAGTTAATTTATTGATAAAAGCTCAGGTTAAATTAGATGTATTAGACAGTCAAGGCTGGTCACCATTATTTCAAACTGCCTTTAGTGGGGAAACAGGTAATTTTTCTTTTTCCAGTAATGAAAAAATTATTCTTATTTTTATTTTTGTTTCTTTTGTCTTCTTGTTTAATTAATTGTTAAATAAGAAATCTTTCAGTTTACCAATTTACTACTATTTTTTTTACATGATTTTGGTTTGTTTTGGTGTAGCCTATACTGTTTATGTCTAAAAACGTTCTTTTTGGTTAATGTCTGATGCTATAACTTTTTCTGTGACTCTTAGCTTGGCCATTCTATGAAATTTGGAGTATTGTCCAAATTTTAGATGTTCTCTGACAATATTGTAACTAAGATTTATTTATTATGGATGAAATTAATAAGAACATTTGAACTGTGAATAGAAATTATTAGATTGTTTAATGTTTGTGTATTTTTATTAGATCTATGTCAGCTGCTATTAGATATAAAAGCACCTATTGATGATATCACATTAAAAGGTGAAACTATCTTACATGGAGCTGTTTATGGTAATAAAGAAGAAATAGTTCAAATGTTTATCAAAGCTGGTAAGATTTGCATAATTGATGCCGAGATAAAAAAAATGAATGATAACCACTTTGAAGTGAAAACAGTGAGGCGAAAAAAAGAAACGATTTTGCAGATCACAAACAAGATCAGGCACTTTCAGCTATCAAGAAATGTAATTACTTATTACCATTAGCACTTTAGAAATATAAACATATTTATAACTAAAGATCTTTTGGTATTATTAGGTTGTCCAGTGAATACTTTAGATAAAGAAGGACATCATCCTTTAATAACAGCTCTACTCAACAGAAGCAGTATTGAAGTAAGTATGTGATGATATGGAGTCATCACTTTTTTTCTTATAATTATATTAGCTTTGTATACTTACAATCTGGAAAAAATAAATCACATGATAACGTGCAAACAGTAGGTAAAAAGTTGATAAAATCAGATTAAATGTTGCTATGTTTTGGGACTAATCTCTTTTTCAAGCGAAAAAAAAAAACAAGAATCAAGAAATGGTGCTATCTCTACAAAGAACAACACTAATCTGACAAAAAATGGCACATTCAGCTTAGTTAAATATACTTACAATCTGACAAGAATTCATACTACAGCTAACAAGTCTGATTCCAGCAGAAACATCAAGCTGCTATGATAATTCAATAAATTAAAGTGAACAGCATTTTCAATTTTCATTATAGGTTGTAAAAGCATTAGTTGAAGCAGGGTCTGATTTAAATCTTTGTGAACCAAAAGAAAAGCAGTCACCTTTACATGAAGCCATAGGCCAGCATTTTACACAGGCAGCAGTTTTATTTATTCAATCAGGTAATTAGTTTCTTGTTTCATTGGTTTATGTTCTTTAAACATGTATTTATGGTGGAACCTTCTTTCATCAAAATCAGATGTAAACTTTGTATTACAATTTCTGGTGTGACTTCCTAATTGATTTTTGTTTAAAATGAACTCTACTTGATATTCATTCCAGATATAATTTGATAATGTGATTTATTTTATTTATCACTAGGTTGTGATATAAATATTGAAGACAGAAAAAGACAAACACCATTATATAGAGCCTGTGAAAAAGGCAGTAATACAATAGTTGAGTTGTTATTGAAACAACCCAATATCAACCTAGTACCAGCCAATCCTAATGTTTCCCCACTACATATAGCCTGTATAAATAATCACATACATGTTATAGAGAAGTTGATAGAGGCTGGATATGATATCAATATGGTATGTATATTGTCATATTTGTTTTGTCCATTCTGAAGAGCAAATGCCTTGGATTTATGTGTGTTGGTTTTGAAACCAGATTTTATGCTCAAAACTGGGTCAGTGTATTCTCATGATTTTTATATATTCTTTCTAAACATAGAACATTTAATTGAAGCACAAATCTGTCATCACACGTGAAGGTGTAATCATTTCTGAAGTCTATTTTTCACAAATCATTGTTTCATTTCAGTTAAATTTTGGTGGATTAACTCCCTTCCAAACAGCTCTTCAAGAAGACAAGCCAAATGTTGCAAAAACATTACTGAAATATGGCTGTGATATTGATGCTCATTCTAAGATTAATTACATGAGAAAATGTTGCATCATTTATGACGATTCACATCCACATTTTTGTTTAGAACCCATGTTCCTGGCTTTAACACATAAAGATGAAGAAATGATAGAAATAATGTTAGAATGTTATGATAGAATACCATATAAGACCCTGAAAGTATTAGATACCATTATACAAACAGCAACAGATATGAGAGTACATTATGATAAACCCATCAGGATGCGTTTGGGTAAAATCTTTCAAAATGCATTAAGGAATCCCAGGTCCTTACAATGCCTATGTCGTATCAGAATCAGGGATTATCTTAGATCACCTTTAACTATGAAGGTACCTCCACTACCAGTAGCTAATAAAATTAAAGATTTTATAATGATGACTGATGTGTTAATTATTAAAATTGTAGAAGAGACAGAATCAAGAGGATGGTATGTTGAATAAATTAAAAATGAACAGAAGTTTAAGCAATATCTTAGTGCAATTTACCAATATAAGATTCTATTTCAGGTGAAATAAGTTTGTGTTTAGTTATCTCTTCTAATCAGTCAATTGCTGTTATATGGATATTGCTTGAACTTACTATTTGCAGATAAAGCTCAATTTCAGCTATTCATTTCAGGCATCTGTCATGCAAAACCTTTCGTAGACTCCCAGACGACTTAAATCATACTTGTATGGTCTCAGATTTCCAATCATATCAAATTTGGGGCATTTTACCTGCCTTTTGTATGCAATTTTTTGACTGATTGTATTTTTTAATTAATTAAGTTGGTGTAATTGTAGATTATCCAAGTTAAAAGTGCAATAATTTAATATATAAATGTGAAACTGTGACTGTATGGAATTTTTAGTGGGACTTTATGATGGCCTAAGTCTTTACTTATACTTATTTTGAGTAATTGCCTAATACATTAATAATGCACTCTTAAATTTTTCTGATGAGGTTTGTCTTCCGTCCATTTTCTGGTATTTTCCATTTTATTTTTGTTTGTTAATGATAAATTTTGATAAAGGATTGAAAATAAATATCTATTTAGAGTTAAATTAGTCTGTTTTTGTCATTTGACTTGGAGGTTCAAGATGATACCAGATTGGAAATCAATAATAAAAAATACACTGCATAACTCTCTGAAGTGAAATTATGGTCAAAGACATTTATGACATTCAAAAGGGGTTTTCATGCAGAGTATTTACCATAAAATGTGGCCAGACCAACTGATAATGTTGACAATATACATCTACAAAACTGGAAAATAACAATATAAAACAATACCAATTTATTCATATGGGAAACAATCTACACAAAACTTGAACAATACAAACTTTGGTAAAATCCATAATCTAACAAGATTCATTGGTCTCTCTTTATAAATAACTCCTACTATTCTTAAATATTCTTTACTTTTATATATTCATTGATTTTCTTACAGATTCCTGAATATTACATTATCTTCAATAAATACAACAAGAAAAGGTCTTATAGAAATATTCAAAGTGAACCTTAAGTGAGAAGTGTTAAATTAAAATTTCACTTCATCCTCTTTTACCAACAATTTACTAAAGTAATTCTTTAGATTCTGTGTTTTGATCTCTTTTAAATTTATACATAATTGTGATATTTTTATAAGGGTGATATCTACTGCTTAAACAGTCAATAATGAAACAAAAAATGGGGAATGGGGATCAATTACATGTAAATAATTTGAGAATTTGAAAGAGTTGTTAAACACATAAGACATGATCTATTCAGAGTCTAGTTCAAAAAAAGATAAATAAGAAAAAACAGTACATCATATATTAGCAGACCCATTCACTTATAATTTATCCATAAAATGTGCTTGGCCATCATTTTCTAAGCGTTGTGTTAAAATATCACATCCTGTTTCTGTCACTAATAATGTATGTTCAAACTGGGCAGATCTCTTTCCATCTTGTGTTACAGCTGTCCAATTATCAGGCCAAATATCATCTCGAAATGTGCCTAAAATATAACATAATTAACATAATACAATACTAGCTTCTTTTAAACATCCAATACCCAACAAAGCACCAAAAATGCCATTCCTTTAAATTATTTATCTCTTCATGATATATTTCCACGAATTTTGATAATTTTCCAAAAATACATCAAAGTTGTTCATTTAGGCATTTTCTTAATATATAGCAAATACAAAAGATGAGAATAAATGCTTATTGTCTGAGCAAATTAAAAGTTTTTTGAATTTTTTCAATATCTTTTTAGAGAATTGGAATATCATCCTAAAAATAGTACTGTTAGTGTCTTTGCGTTGAAAAGAAACACATTCCTCTCCCAGGAATTTCAACCCAAAAAAGGTAACAAATTTTTCCCTAAAAATTGTCCAAGACAAAATGTTTGCTTCTGCTTTTATTAATAGCAAAGACATTTTAAGACTAGCAGTACTATAATAGTACTACTATTTTGAGGATGCTATTCCAATTCTCATAAAAATAATGGGAAAAATTCAGAAAACTTTTTACTTTGCTCAGACAATAATTTTCAACTGCCACTTCTGTTCTGTACAAATTTGTAGTAAAGTAAAGATTCCTACCCTCTGATATCATAGGTTCTATTGTAAAAGTGTGACCAGGTTTCATTATTCCTATACCCTTATTTTCTGTAATAAAGATAGCAGAGGCATACATTAAACTACATATACATTACTATTACAAGAAATCCAATATCAAAATTGATGTGGATGTTTCAAATTGTATCACTTTAGATGAAAAACATATCTAAAAAAGATTTATATCTAGTCGAATAATGTAACTACTTACTGGCATAATGTGGAATACTAGGGGCTGTGTGGAACAGTCTGAAATAAAACATCAGTTTATTATCAAACTTTCATTATAGGAAAAAACTTAAATATAAGGAAATTAATTTGTAGGTTTACATAAGGTAAGTATTGTTCAGGAAATCAAATATAAGATATAACTATTCAATGGCAAACATTTGCACATTAGTCAATTAAAGTTAACATAATGGTACTTTCAATGCCAGTTATTTTTTTGTGATAAAATGAAATTGGAATCTTACATTTTTTTGACAGAAATGATATGATCCCATTGTAATATTGATGTTTATATAAACCATTACTTACGAATTGATCCCATGACCAGTATAACTTCTGACTACTGAGAAACCATTAGTATGGGCATGTTTCTGTATTACATTACCCAATTCTCTATATCTTACACCAGGCTTTACTGATATCATAAATATAGCCATGTTAAATACAATTTTCAACAGACTTCAACAACAACAACAAAATAAAATCGACAAAATGTTAACCTGGAGTCGTATTAAATTGCAGCAAGCATTTCAAAATAATAAAATTCTATGATTCTCATCAACCTAAGGTTTTATGTATTGCAACTTGGAGACTTTTACTAGCATGCATAGACAGCAAAATGAAGAATTCTATACTGATATGACTTTTACCTTCTTTGATTGCTAACATGAGACATTCATATGTAGTTTTTACCAACTTTTTACCAGCTTCATCAACATTACCAACAAAAAATGTTTCATTCAAATCGCTATGGTAACCATTATGATAAGCCGATATATCAACTAAAAATAAAATTAACATATAATTACAGTAAAACTTTATTAGATAAATTCATAGTTCATTACCTTAAAAAATTCAAATTTAAAAATGAAAGTTATAAAGAGGGTATATTCTTTATCTTTATTAGCATACTCTATAAATCTAAACAACCTTTAGCAACTGTCCATACCAATGACTCATCCTTTTTTCCATGTCAGCTCCTCAGACGGATTGGAAAATCTATCTCACAGAAAGCCCCTACAACCTCCAGGCTAGTTAGCTAGAGTCTAACTCTCTGAGCAGTTCAAAAAAATTACAAATTAATTTACATCAAGCTAGTAAATATAAATTATACCATTTACTATATCACCATCTTGTAATGGTCTTTTATCTGGTATACCATGACATATAACTTCATTTACAGACCTGAAAAAAAATACATTGGTATTTTATACATTGTATAAATAATAATTCACTTTTAACTAATTTTTAGTAATTAATGCACCTTACCAACATTTTAAAATACCACATACGCTTCAACATTCATCATAAATTCTTTAGTAATATATGAGATCAAAATTAACTTTTAAAATAAAATTTACTTACGTACAACAAGCTTTAGGAAACTTATAATAGTTTAATGGTGAAGGATAGCAATTTCTATCAACGCAAGCCTAAAATACAACAAAAAGATCTATAACTGTACAAATGGACTCCTCATTCGATGCATAGGCCATTATCATATTTTTATGCTTGTAAACAAACTTTAATAGAAGGTTAAGAACGGTAAAATCTTACTTCATGAACTTGTCTGTCTATTTCTTCTGTAGTAACACCGATACCAACAGCTTTACCAGCTATATCCAACACTTCTCTACCAAGCTATAATTGAAACATGATATTAAAAATATCAATTCACATTTCCGTATATAAATAAGTATTATTACTCTAAAAGTTTATACAGATTTATACAGTTTTTATGCTTTGAGCGAAATGTAATAAAAACAATTTCTTACCTTACATGCCACTCTCATGGCTTCAATTTCTTCATCATTTAAAACTTTGATAACAGTTCTACCTCTCATCTGTTTTTCACCAAGTGGTACCCCTTGATTCATAAATAATACAAAAGTTATTTATTATTAGTATTATGTTCTCTCAAAACAGATGTCTTATTCAAATTTAACCTGGAATTTTATGGGTTGTATCATCCTCAACTGAATTCTCTACATATGAACAACACAATCTCAGATTAAAATCTGATGACAAGTAATAATGATAAATATGTTTACCTTCTGGATGATCAGCATGATCAGGTCTACCTATCGTATCTGGCACAATTCTTCGTGGTGTCTGAAATATATTTTGAATATGAATTTGATTCCAGTTTTCTTAAATTCTCTTGAGCCGTGTCATATAGCCAAATGAGCTTATCTTATTGACAGGTCTTGCTTTTTAAATTACATTCTGACCTTAGCAGCTAAGATACTTTTTCAAAGTAAATTTTTGACCTCAATTCTCTAAATGTCTATATTGAAATACAAAATCATTTAAGTATACTTACCACAGGATAGGGTCTTAATTTTCCTGAAAACCTGTAACCAGGCCATGGATTGTAATTGTCTGTTGAATCTGAATCATGTTCTACAAAATATGATAAATCAACATGATAAATACAGATATGTCAATTCACAATGTAGCTGTTATGCAATAACTTAAAAACATTATAAACAAATCTTGAAATATTTTGTTGTTTTAACAATAATGGCAGTGGAATAGCTCTGTTTACCCTGCTGAGAGATTTGTGTTTCCAACCAACCCAAACACAATTTGGCCTTGAATTAAGACTTGAGTCAAGCTTTTACACCAACTGTCTATTGGACGGAAGCAATTTTCATGCATATATAGAAGTTTCAAAACCCTTTAATTTCTGACTCAATTTTCATGCTCTTCTGAGTCAGCTTTTCATTCCATTCCACCTAAAACTGCCAAACTGATCAAATTTATTCAACTACTAACTTGCTTTTTTATGAACTTTTTTATGTTCTCCCCAGACTCCTTTAAAACATTCCTGAAATGGAAAAAAATCTAATTTATAAACTTTCTGAGAGAGCGAGACGAGAGATAAACAACTCATATTTTTCTTCTAGAAATTTTGTTTGTTAAATTTGTCTCCAAGAAGATAAAAAGTTCATGAAAGGAAAAATTTAACTTGTGTAAAAAAAAAAAGGAAGAAAGTTGTCAAAATTTATAAAGAGTCAAGTACTTATGCAACTTTCAAATAAAGGTATATAACTTAATCAATAATAACTTAATTGTAATGCATTTTAAGTAGTGCCTATTGATGGACTTAATTAGTTGTTGTCTGTAGTCTTGAGTAATAACAAAATCTACTGCGTTATATATCAGAGCAACATGTCTGTGAGGATAACACATATTTTGAACCTGTGAACAAAAATAAGAACCAATTATTCCCAGTTTTATACATGTTGGACACTGTAATTTTGCCTGGCTGGAACAACCAGGAGTTTCACAGTTTCTCGATTCCAGTATGGCGGCCATTTTTGTTGTAGAGTTCTCTCCCCAAATACTGATTATCCAGACCGAAATAGCCGAAACATGGTGGCGACGGGCCGACGGGTCCTGAAGAAACAATGTGAAAACACTCATGAAGACCGGAAAAGTTTTTCATCAAGACTGTTTTCTTCCATTTACAAATAGATAATTTGAATTATATAATTAACCTTTTTTTGATCAATTCTTTTCGTTCCCTGGCATTATTTTGTCAAGCTCCTGACAATCGAGAATATGGGCCTGTTTGTTGAGGACTAATCTGTAATTTGATAAATCAGGTAATTGTATTTCTAGCCAATCATTTAATAATTCATGAATTGAAAACCAATCGTTAAAGTAACATGATTACAATTTTTTATTCAGAGTTGCCTCCATCGAACTTACATTACTACTTCATGCAAAGATGTCGGACACTGTAGGCAAGGTATTTGAAACTATAAAACTTTAATGCAATCGACACTGTGAAATAAATAGCTGACATGACGGTGCTCCAATCTCAACTGAAATATACTGTCTTGATGCCTATTTCGTGAGCTCAAATTAGTTTATATATTCTTGTTTTTCTCAGTTCTTGGTTGTCAAGTTGTCAGACTATTTTCAAGTACTTGATCCAGTTCCTTTGAGTAGGCAGTGCTCACTGCTTACAATCATACATGTATAGTAATAATGAAGAAAGGTTATATAGGCTTACATAGGACAGGCATAGGCCTACTTACAACATTTGTCTTTATCTTTACATTTGTTTATATTTTTATAGTGACATTTCTAATAACGCAAGTTGTAAATGTTATGTAGTTCAAAGGTAGTAGTACGGTATTCTGTCAAAATATCAGTAGATCTATTTAGAAAAACACACTTTTTGCAAATTTGACTGATGAGTGAATTAATTGAATTACCCACCTTAATTTTTCATTCAATTGAAATGCATATCTGATTAATTTTTTTCCCAGACAATCACCTGTAAGGCAGCTGTGGCCTGGGAAGCCAAGAAACCATTAGTTACAGAAACTATCGAGGTTGAGCCACCTAGAGCTGGAGAAGTCAGAATTAAAATTCTAGCTACCGGTGTATGTCATACTGATGCTTATACTTTAGACGGGTTTGATTCAGAAGGTGCTTTCCCAGTGGTATTAGGGCATGAGGGAGGTGGTATTGTTGAAAGTGTTGGAGAAGGTGTAACATCCGTAAAAACAGGTATGAACCTATACCTCATCATTTGATTAATCCTACCTCCCTTACAAATTAAGACCTATTTATTGAGCCTCAAGCCATCTGCACCCAGCTATATGAAAATCCAGAATTCAAAAGTTGGATGTGCTAAACCTATAATTATAAATAGTAATTTCATTTTAGACCATTTAAATTCCAGGTGATCATGTAATTCCCTTGTACATTCCTCAATGTTATGATTGCAAATTTTGTACCAGTAAGAAAACAAATTTATGCTCAAAAATTCGGTAAGTGATGGATTCATTTGTGCATTTTTATAATTTAAGGGCTTCACTTCACTTATTATGTGGAGCTTCTTTATTTTCAGTTAGTTTTACTGAAAGCTTTGTGTTTTATAAGTCTTGCTGATCAGTCATATAAGTTAATCAATTTCATGTTAATTTTAAAGTCCAAATTTGTTTATAATCTTCTTTTTACAAATTATTTAGTGCCACGCAAGGTAAAGGTGTGATGCCTGATGGAACGTCTAGATTTCGATGTAATGGTAAACAGTTATTCCATTTTATGGGATGTAGTACATTCAGTGAATATACTGTTGTAGCTGAAATTTCTGTCAGCAAGGTATGAGGCTCATTGAGGGAGTGAGTGTATTGATATAAACAAGAGAAAACTGCTCCTGACAGTTATGGAAAATCTATAAAATAGTCTGAAACTGAAAGCAGGATATGATCTGAAAATAAAATATCAAAAAGTGGACTATTCATAAGTCACATGAAAATGGATAACACAATGATTTCTCTCTTTATTGCCATTAATGAAAAAACAATAGTGATAATATAGAATTTTGTTTTAAAAGGTTGATGAGAAAGCACCACTAGAGAAAGTTTGTTTGTTGGGCTGTGGTATTTCAACTGGGTATGGTGCAGCTTTAAATAGTGCTGGTGTAAGTAGCCTCTTTGTTGCAAAGAATAACACAAAAGTTCTTTTCAAGTGATATTCTTATGATTAAAAAAAAAAAAAATAGTGAAATTTGGTGTTATTAAAAACTAATTATTATTATTAGATATTTCTTTTTTTTAGGTTGAATCTGGTTCAACATGTGCTGTTTGGGGATTAGGAGCTGTAGGATTAGCTGTTATTATGGGGTGTAAAAAAGCTGGTGCTACAAGAATTATTGGTGTAGATATAAATTCTGCTAAATTTAAAGTTGGTACGAGCTCTTTTTTCTGATGTGACAAATTTGCATATTTCTTTAATTGTACCTCGTATTTTTAGATTGGTAATCCATAACTAATTGAACACAGTATTTGTAATATTAGATCATGAATAATTTGATGTTTTGAATTTAGCTGAAGATTTTGGATGTACAGAGTTTATAAATCCCAAGGATTATGATAAACCAATACAAGAAGTTATAGTAGAGAAAACAGATGGAGGGTGTGATTATACATTTGAATGTATTGGCAATATAGGAACTATGGTAAGAAATACACATTACTTACAGTAAGCATAGTGACAATCAGATATAAAAGCCTGAATTAGATATAGATACAATGAAAATTTCCACATCGTACAAGTTGTGATGTAAAGATATACTTATCATGTTACCTGTTTCAGAGAGCAGCATTGGAATCATGCCATAAAGGTTGGGGTGTATCTACTATAATAGGTGTAGCAGGAGCTGGTCAGGAAATATCAACCAAACCCTTTCAACTTGTCACTGGAAGGGTATGGAAAGGCTCAGCTTTTGGAGGTATGTATAGTATTTGTTTGACCTAATATTTTGAGCATGACATCTTCTTACATTGCAACATTCCCATTTCATGATGTTTGTTGGATAACTTCAAGTCATTCATCCAAATGAAATTCAATTTATGACTTTTTTGTTCTATATTAGGTTGGAAGAGTAGGGATAGTGTACCTAAATTAGTGGATGAATATATGCGTAAAGAATTGAAAGTTGATGAATTTGTTAGTTTCACTCTACCTCTTGATAAAATCAACGAAGCTTTTGATTATATGCACAGTGGAAAAAGGTAATTTTTTTCTCTTTTTGTCATGTTTTTTGCTTGAATGTTGATCTTGCTAAGTTTGGAACTCATTTGACAGACACAACTAAACTGTCTAATTTTGAAAATTTCTGGTATTTAGCAATTTCAGTCAAAAGTTAAAATTTAGATATGTGTTAATTTCTATCATAATAAAACATTTTATTTCAGTATAAGGTCTGTGGTAAAGCTGTAAAGAAGATGGTATAAAATGAAAAAGTGCCTCCTAAATTGATAAATTTGTTATGCTTTAAGATGATTGTCTGAAAAACTGAACCAAATTGTTAAAACAATAAAATGATATCCTAATTATGTCAATATTTGTTTGAATAATGTGTGTATTAAGTATGTTGTATGCATATTGGAAATATCTTAGTATATAATGTTAATGTGAAGTATCACCTGTTTAAATCCAATTGTTCACAAATAAGTTTGATTAAGCTTTAATAGTGCTTAGCATTTCTATTTATGTGCCAGATTTTGTCTGTTTTTGATAATTAGCATTTATATGTACATTTAACTCCATGGGTATTTGTAACTTTTATGAAAGATCAGTATTTGTGTGGTTGTTTTTGTTGTTTCTATTACTGTGCAAAATTTGCTTTTATAATACAGATTTTAGGAAAATCATAACTTTTTATGCTTCATTTTTTTAAGAATATGTTGAAATTTATTAGGATATCGCATAAATTAGTGTTTGATATTGGGGCATTACTACATTTACCATGTAAAATAAAAATTTATATCTTCAAAAAGTATCATTCTATGTTAAGATGAAAATATTTTCAAGAACCTCTTTTGAAGGAAAGGTATTTAGCTTCAATAAACTATTTCACTCTAGGAATACCATATAAAATGCAAGAATAATAGATAATTTTGCACTTATTTGTCGGAATCATTTCTTTAGAATTTTCTTATGTATAAGTCCATTGACCCATTTGAGGTATTCTCAGCAAGTATTATAATGAAGATATATAGATATATCTAGATAACAGATTACAAGTTAAAATCCACTCAGATAACAATGTGAGAATTGGGTCACATTATTTGATAACAAGATAAAGATATGAGAAATTAAAGTGACGAAGTTAGTGTCTGGTCGTTGGTAGAGGATTAAACCAGTCAGAACTGAACAGATCTAGTTACAACCAAACAACATGGCATCTGATACACTCAGCAAGGTAAATTCATATGTTTAATACTTGGCCAGTGAAGTTCAGAGTTCATTTCTCAAGGTTGTGTCCATGAACTACATTTGATTATGAAATATTTAAACCGATTTAAGGGATTGTTAAGATTTTTTTTTAACTTTATGTGTATTGAGGATACTAAGACACCAAATTGCAGCATTCTGTTTTTCAGTCCGACTTCTGTGGGTGTTGTAATTATTATACTAAAACATTAGCCCTAGCCTAGATGTTATAACAGCTTTTGTTGTAGTGACATCATAAAATGTTTGGTTTTAGTGGAATTGCCACAGATGTTTGACTGAAAAATGGCATAGAGCAAGTCTGTGCTATCAGTGTCATCAATACACATAAAAAGTTAACAAAAACCTTTTTACAATTCCTTTAACCTACTAGAATAGGTTGTTAAGAATCTGACTGAGCATAACATATAGAGATTTCATTGTAAGGAAAAGGAGAAACTCTGGATAAATTTGGACGGCAATAGAAAATTATTTTTGTGATGATACATATTTAAAATAGCACTTGTCTGCATGTTGTAGATCATAAGGATAATATCTATTTCATTTCTTTAAAAACATTGTGTACAATTGACAATTTTCCAACATGCTACATGATTTTGTTTTCTATAATGTCATTTAAAACAAAGTGAAAAAACAATCATTTGTTTGCTACCATTTAAGAATATACTATTCCACTGATATTGCATTTATAAACAAAATCACTCTTGATGTTTGATAAAAGCAAGTTTTGGTGTTAACAATTTTACTTGATATTCAGAAAATTCGATGTAAAGCCGCAGTATTATGGGAAGTTAATACACCATTAGTTATAGAAACTATCGAGGTTGAGCCACCTAGAGCTGGAGAAGTCAGAATTAAAATTCTAGCTACCGGTGTATGTAAGACAGATGCCTATTTGTTAGATAGGGTAGACCCTAGTAAGAATTATCCAGTAATATTAGGACATGAAGGAGCTGGTATTGTTGAAAGTGTTGGTGAAGGAGTTACAAATGTAGCGCCTGGTAAGACTAATATATTTTGCTGTAAATATTCCCATTCAAATATACTCATGCAAATTTTTATATCTTGAAGACATAGCTGTCTGGCATAATGTTAATTATGTTCTGGAATGACTGTTATTGAACTCTTGAGGTTATAATTTTGGTTAAAATCATTCCGTATCTTATTGAACCAAACACTTAAATGATTATCATTCTTATAAGTGTTGCACTATTACTTTGAGATCTGATAATGATGGAGTTAAAGATGGGTTCTCAAACTATTTGATTAATTGATGTTTCTAATGAATTGTCTTGTACTCATAATCATATCATTATGTTCTTATTGCATATAATTAAGAGTTTTAACCAATCATAAATGTTCATGTATGTACAGTCTGGAAAAACACAAAAAAGACTTTTTGACCTTTCTTGATCGGCCACTAATTGGAATTCTGCTGGTAATTTTCTTCAATTTAGCTAATTATGAATTGATTATGGACATTTGAGACAAACTGGCAATTTTCCAAATGATAAGAACACCTCTACTTTCTATTCATATATGTATTAGAATTTCCATTTTCATACACAAAGATAAGGGAACCCATCTTTAAAACTTAAACATGTCTGAATGTCTACAGTTGGACAAAAGTGCTTAGTCAATGATTTATGCATATGAATTTTCAAAAGAATAACATTAAAAAAAAAATGCTCCATCTTGAATACTCTATTGACTTATGTGTGGGTAGAGAGCGTTTGATTTTACTATTTCAGGTGATCATGTAGTGCCACTTTATTACCCTCAATGTTACCAGTGTAAATTCTGTAAAAACCCTAAAACTAACTTCTGCTCAAAAGTAAGGTAAGAAAAATATAAAGAATTTTTCATAGAAAGGAGTTGACACATCTCTCTTTGATGGCATTAGCCATGACACATGATAATTGATAATTGTTTGAGTTGTTGCAATCCAAGCATAAATACACCATTATTCAAGGATAATTTGAAAGGAGCAAGCATGGTGCTATTTGCCCCCTGGATAATTATTTCTACCTCAAATATACAAACATACTCTATATGTTTTGAAATACTATCTGTATTGCTACTGAATTATTGTTTGATAGAGCTACCCAGATGAAAGGTGTGATGCCTGATGGAACGTCCAGATTTCGATGTAATGGTAAAAAGTTATTCCATTTTATGGGATGTAGTACATTCAGTGAATATACTGTTGTAGCTGATGTTTCTGTTTGCAAGGTAGACAATTTATTCGTTTGTAATTCAAACATTATAGTGCTTCTAAATGTGTATTTCTGAATAATAAAAAATAATGAATAGTGAAGCAATTTTGATCTAACCTCAAAAAGTTAAAGGTGTCGCTGTAAATTTTATTTAATCAGAATACAATTTCTTATTTGTAACCATTTTGTTCTTATTGAAGTAATTTGTTTTTATAAAAACTGAACTGTTTCCTGATGATTGTAGGTAGATTCCACTGCACCATCAGAGAAAGTTTGTTTATTAGGCTGTAGTATATCAACAGGGTATGGAGCTGTTGTCAACACTGCTCAAGTTAATAAGATATTTTAATTACTTTTTTTGACTATTAAAGTTTAAAAAAAAACTCCCCAAATTGATGGTTAGGTTAAATTTTAGCGGTTTGCAACAGTTTGTGTGCATTTTGGAATGTGAATTCTCTAAAAATGTTGTATGAATTTGTCGTCTTACAAGTCACCTGTTTAAGTAGGCATATCTGAAATTAAGACAAGATTTTTTTTTTTTATGATTCTCTTAGATTCAGTATGTGATCATTAAAGATAGGTTTGAATCTGGTTCAATATAAGAATATGTTATTTATATAAGATAGGTTAAAGTTTGATTTTGTTATTGTAGGTTGAATCTGGTTCAACATGTGCTGTTTGGGGATTAGGAGCTGTAGGATTAGCTGTTATTATGGGGTGTAAAATAGCTGGTGCTAAAAGAATTATTGGTGTAGATATTAACTCTGATAAATTCAAAGTTGGTAAGTGTTTGGTTAGCTTACTTAATTTGATACTTATGACTTGTTAAAAGAGACTATTGATAAAGCTAGCCAATAGGCAGAAAACATTACTCATTACACCACTTTATTTTTAATATGTTACTGTATTTATTAGTTGTACACCTATTAGGACATTTTATAAATAGTTTTAAATTTAAATGTAGCTGAAGATTTTGGATGTACAGAATTTATAAATCCTAAGGATTATGATAAACCAATACAAGAAGTTATAGTAGAGAAAACAGATGGAGGGTGTGATTATACATTTGAATGTATTGGTAGTGTTGAAGCAATGGTAAATTAATTCATTGGATATAATATTATCACATGATAAGTGTGTCATCAGAAGAAATACTAGCTAAGAAGCTGCATGATTATTTCTGCAATTGGTGTAGTTAGCTAGTTCAAAACTAGTTACCAAAATCTTGTTTTCATTTGGTCACAAAATGAAAATTTATCTTCAAGGTGCAAATAAAATTTCTATCTAATTCAGAGAGCATCACTTGATGCCTGTCATAAAGGATGGGGTGTATCAACTATATTAGGAATGACACCACCTGGAGCAGAATTAACAGCAAAACCTTACTCCATTGTTACAGGATGTGTTTGGAAAGGGTCTGTATTTGGAGGTTCGAAAATTAGTGTTTTTTATCACACAGAATTCAAAACATTTATCTATTTCTATTCTTTGATTTGCATTCCCCTTAAAATGATTTTGTATAATGTGACAATCCAACTTGCTTGGCAAGAAACTCTGAATTTATTCTTGCATGTCGTAGAAAATATTTTATAAAACGAATTCAATATCTATAGATACATCTATAGGCCTCTAAATCTTCATGTTCAAGGTAGTATACAAGGCTTTATGAAATTGACATTTCCTCCTAAAAACATGCTTGTAATTATCAGAGGTGTGTTCCGTGATATATTCTAATTTGTTCCCACTGTAGGTTGGAAAAGCCAGGACAGTTTGCCAACACTGGTTGAAGAGTACATGCAAAATAAATTAAAAGTAGATGAATTTGTTAGTTTTACATTACCATTAGCTAAAATAAATGAGGGATTCGACTACATGAGGAAAGGAGTAGGGTTGGTATAAATTGAGCATCTCTATATTCAAATCAGGAGTTATTGGTAGAAATACAGACCTTCATGTGTCAATTCCAACTTTCAATTTTTACTGTTTCAATATTTTATCTTAGTTTAAACTTAGGTAAATTTTTTCTCTTTTGCAGAATAAAGTCAGTAGTTATATTTGATTAGTTGCAGCTTTTTTTGGGGAAAGAGTGTCAGTAATAAACATTATTCAAACTGGTCTTATATCTTTACATTGGTCTGTAATTCAAGGGAAATAATTGCTCTTCATGCTAAACTCAGACAACAACTAATTCATTAGAACTCCATTACCCCCTAGTTAACTTGCGTATTCAAAAAGAAAACCGAGCGAGAGGTATTCAGGAACACCCATTGCCCATTTATTAAAAATGTAAACACATTGTATACAGGATGTCATTTGCTCTGGAGAGTGACGATGCCCACATATTTATTAAATAAATGGGTTAATGACGATGCCCACATAAATAAATGGGTTAATCGATAACCGCTGGCTGTTCAGCTCATGGGTATAAAAGATCTGTGTTGACCCAACCTTCCACAATAACCACATGGATGCATGTCCAGTGAATAATAATAGAATTGTAATGCAATAACGAACATACAATCTAAATGATTTTTATATGTACAATAAATATTTAACAAAATAATTACATTGACATGACCTACACATGGAATAAACAAATGATTCACAAAGTTAAGAAGCTATAGTCACTTTTGTCAATTTAACACTTCCTCTTGCTTTGTATACCTCAGTCATCAGATTTTTCATGTATGCAATTTCTCGTTGCAACTCATCCACTTTATCTTGTAATTTGTCGTTCTTGTCCTGAAGTTGGTCTTCCTCAAGCTTTATGTCATCAGCTTCTGCTTTTTTCTTTTGTCTATATCGAATGGCGGCATTCTTGTTCTGAAGTTTCTTGCGCTCTTTTTTAGACAAAAACTGAGATTCTAAACTGTCACTATCAGTTAACACAGATTTCGCTTTCGATTTTTTGTTTGAAGTACTAGGCGATGAGTATGGTGATGATCTAGGAGTGCTATAACGTTTATGACATGGTTGGGTCATTAATTTATAAAGTTCGCTATTAGTGCTACAATCACTACTTGATATAGAAGATGAAGGGGAACTTGGAGAAGATGATAAAATACTTTCAACATCACTAATTGACGATTGTGAAAGAGTATTGTCGTCCATATCGGCTGTATCTACTGTGGTGGTATGATCTAAGAATGAATCCATAGAACCTATTCCACTATCATCTAATGATATAACTGGAGCCACCTGAATTGTGCTCTCTCCAGGAATATTATCAGTGGTTTGCTCTGATAGAGGAATATAGGATGAATTTGAATCCATTTCTGTGGCTTTCTCTACAAGTTGTTGCAACAGTTCAAACTCATCTTGGCCCAAGCCAAAGTCAGTAAGAACAGAGCAGTCAACATCAGCTGCCACTTCTACTTTCTCTTCGATTACTGGAGCAACTGGAACTGGCATCGTCTCCATTGCCATACCAGTCAACTCCTCTAACATTTGTGACAAACTCGTTTGTTCCATCCAGGATTCTGCAAAAGGGTCTGAAATGAAAAAGCAAAGAATCAAAATTTCTGTTTTGTCTTTATACTTTGAAATTTTACATTTAGAAACATTTCACAGGCAATGCCAAAATTCAAATTTGCATATTACAGAATTATCATATGCCTTACCTATACTTGGAGCCTCCAGCACATCTTCAAAGATACCAGTTGATGTATTCTGGTTTTCATCTTTAACACTACTGTACACACCAGACCCTAGGTCATCGGACAGGGTCATTAAACCATCTCCCCACCCTTCCATCAAACTGGTAAAATCTTCCATCTCCTGTACCGACATGTTGAATCGTTTTGATTTCTATAGTCGAATGAATAAGTCCGCTTGGGTAAACATCTTGAAAATTCCTGGAATTACAAAACACAAATTATATGCGACCTGAGATTTGACAATTACCTATAAGGCCTACCAGGTGCTCCTGCACCCTAACTACCAAAGGCTGATTAGAAAGCCTGAATTTATTTTTTATTCCAGACTAGGACCCTTATATTAAGAAGGTCAATGCTTAGCAGAATAGCCATGGTAGGGAAAAGTTTCAAATGGTTTACCTTGAAAGGTCAAATTTTGACCTTAAGACAAGGTCAGCCATTTCGTCCCCTAGGTGTTCCCACTATGGTCATGGATAGTATATTGTCTTTATTGTTAAAAAGTGGGCACTTCAGAAATATTTTTGATATCATGTACAATAGAGAGAACGGCTACGTTAGTAGACTTCTCTATCAGTCATTACAGGGTAGATTAGATCCCATCACTGTCACTCCAAAAAAGCAGAATCTCGGGTCTGCATAATGAATAAGAAAGGACAATATTGATTTTCAAAATGTCATTAGGCTTAGTCTTACATTTTTTCTTAATTAATAGCTGGCTTTAATTCATTGGTTCCATCCTACAACTGATGAGTCGTGTGATAGGCTACGACAGTCACGTTGCAAATTAGTTTCCATAAAAAAAATCCCATAAAAATTGTCTTACTAACTACGCATTTGATTAGGCTAGACTAGATCTAATTTTTAGTTTTAGACTAGCCTAGAAATTACTAGTCAGAAATCTGGAAGGTAACAAATTAAAATAAATAAATACTTACGCCATTTTGAGTGTGTGACTTTGCACGGTGCCGTAGCAAGTGCCCAAATTTAAGCTGCCATATTAGAATTTGACAGATTATAACACATTGAATTCTCAGTAAAGAATGCGCCACGCCGCACGTTCTCCCCTCAAAAAGGAATATTTCATTTCATATCCATCCGCCAAGGGTTTAATATTGTTTCTACGTTCTATATTTTATAAATCAAGAACTCCATCAAATGAACAGCTCGTTGAAATGTTATAAATTATCAAACTTTAATGAAGAAGACTTCGGAACCAAACTTGAAAAGCAATCCAAAATGTAACTCTTTATCATATCGATAGTTTTCAAAAACTGTAAATCGACCAGTAAACGTTGCATCAGAAAATATTGGCAATTTGCCATACAATGTTGTCACATGTAGCACACTAACTTCATATTGGCCTCCGATATACTTTTAAATTCATTATAGAAAATAATTTGACTTGTAATTCTACACATTTCTGATATTGTATTGATATAAATATTGTGCCAAAATACACGTTATAAGACTGATAAAAGAGAGTCTATTGTCATTGCATTTGCAAAATCATATTGGAATATTGTAGAGATATTTTGATAGCATCGAGTAAATCCGATTGTATTTCATTTTACGTCAATGAGTAGTTGCAATTATCCAGTCTTTTGTTTTTCTGAATGACACGTAACAGTAAAGCTATGCATTTTTGATAACCGAGACAAAAGTAAACACGTGAATATACGTCAGATACTAAATATAATCCACATCCATATAAAGAAATCAGACGTGAATGGTAAATTTCGCCCTCTCAATGTGAAAATTTACGTAGTATGCATCCATCTGCCGTTGCGACGACAAATGTATAATTTCCAATAATACATTCATATTTTAGTGGTTTAAGTGGCATGCCACTGCCCCAACTATACCATGGGTTTGATCATATTATATAAAGAGTTATAATCTTTAAATGGCACTTGGTCAATAAAATATTTCTACTAAACCCAGAGAGTGATTTAAAAAAAAAATCTCTATAGTAATAAAACACTCCAATACTAGCAATAGTTCTTTATTTAATCTTCAATTAATCCTGCATAAAACTCATTCAGAAAGCTGTGTCTATATTGAGTTATGATCAATATATAAGTTTTAGCAACGGCGTGCAACTTGATGTGGTATGCTAAAGCAATGTTCCATTAAGGTGCGGGCACACGAGCGGTCTTGGTCGGAGATTTTTGTCTCCTGACTCGAATCTTGAGTAAAGCGTCGCGTGTGTCCGTTGCTTCCACAACAAGATGATTTTTGTCTCCTCGTGTGTCCGTACCAGTCGTTGAAACTCAAGACAAGACTCTAATCGACGACAACACTTTCCGACCAAGACCGCTTGTGTGCTCTTCCATTAATGGAACATGGATGGCAGGATCCCTTGAGCAGGCTTCAATTTAAGTGGTATCGCATTGCAATTTGCAAGTCAAGATAACCCTTTTTGCGATCCACGATTTTTTAATTAAAATGTATCACGACATCCTGCGAATCATATCAACTCTACAACTTTGAGCAACGAGACGGTTTAGCTGGATCCATTGTATCTTAATATCTTCCGTGATCTCTTCTCTACTATCCCAATCCTTTTACTGTGCCTAAGTAGCATATTAGAATTCGTGAGGTCGTTTTTTTTGCTCGGTTCCTTGTCGGTTCATATCTTGAAGTAGCATACGTACGTTATTTCTGACGTCATTGGCTTGATCTACAACCGGAACATTTTTATAGAATTGGAAAGCAAATCAAAATTTAAATTGATTATCCAAAACTGAAATTTGGTAAACAAATTAAAATTAAACTATGCCATAAGTTTATACATTATGTGGTAGGTCTTACTGATCTAGGCCTACACACACTCTCGTATCATTTTGTCATAAAACAATTTTTCGGCTGTCCGTTATAACCATGGAGCCATGGACACTTCAAAGACATGCACTTACTACCAGATTCATTATCTTCTATTCTTAATGTGACCTTTAACCCCATTTTTCCAGTTTATCTATCCGGTTGTCCTTTTTAACGAACCATGTAAAGAATATAATATAAAGTCAGAATGGCGCAAGAAACTCCTGCAGGTGGTTTTGTTAAATCGGGCTTTGAAGAAGTGGAAAAAGTTTTTAGGTAAAAGGGTGTACGGCTGTACGTTCACTGATAAACAAATGAATGTGTAAATTCATAGAACTGTATACTGTTCTATGTTAAACGTCATGTGGTGTGCCTATCTACTCGATTACAGTCCAAATGCACCAAATTGACTGACTGATATTCCCATTATTACATTTTGCTTTTCAAAATAAAAAACATGTCTTTGTTCATTTTAACAGAGATAATATAAGAAGTGGATTAGAAAAAGGAGGTAGTTTTGCTGTGTATTATAGAGGAGAGTTAGTGGTTAATATTTGGGGAGGAGAATGTGATGCTCTGTGCAGAAGGGAATGGAAACAGGAAACAGTTTCTTGTATATATTCTTGTACAAAGACTATTTCGGCAGTTGTTATAGCACACCTGGTAGATAGGTATGTCATAATAATGAATCAATCTTTTTTCTGGTTTTAGTCCTCCAACCTGGTTGCTGGTCTGACTTTTATGGGAATTTAGAAAAGAAATCTAATAAACCCTTGTTTGAATTATTCAAGCAATACTATTATTTTTATTGGCAGTGTTTTCTTTTTCAGAGGGTTGTTGAAATATTCAGAATACATTTCCACATATTGGCCCGAATTTGGTCAAAATGGGAAAGATAAAATCAGACTGGAAGAATTTTTATGTCATAAGGTCAGTTAAGAGAACAATCATTAGTGTGGATAATTCTGGCAGGCTCAAATTTCAACAATGAACTGCGAACAATATTTATGTCTATATGTCTTAAAAAATTATCCATTTAAGGCTTTTTTAATGAAAATTACAAAAAAACCTTGTTAATTTCTTTATTTTTAGGTAAAGTTTTGATAAACTGTTGATTATTATTTAGGCAGGATTGGCTGGTATAGAAGATGATTCTTACAGATTATCATTACTGGTGGACAATCCTAGAAAACTAGGAGAGATTTTAGCAAAACAAAAACCTTTATGGAAACCAGGTACTAAATACTGTGACCAAGTTTAGTTTTCAGTATGAAGGTTGGCTTAGTGGTAGAACCCCAATTATTTCACTATGTCTTGAACATGTCTGTTGCTTTGTGTCTTTTTAGTCAAGTGTTGATCACCAATAACATATATTGTTCTAGTTGTATTTTGTTTCATTGATTATCTGCAGATGGTTCATTCTATGATTTTGATAGGTCAAGTTTAACCCATAAAAAAAAGGTTAGCAAAATATCTCAGTTTGAAACTGGAAGTTCATCCAACAATGTACCATTAGAAAATATATTTTCTTTTTCTTTCAGGACACCAATATGGTTACCATGTCCATACATTTGCATTATACCTGGACCAAATAGTAAGAAGAGTTGATTGGAAATTCAGAGGATTAGCTCAGTATTTTGGGGAAGAGATTGCTAAAGAATTTGGTATTTATCAGTCATTAGTAGCTATATATGTATAGTCAGCCATTCCTATATCTTATAAGACATATCCAATTTTCCCAAAGAAAATATGCTGAATAGACAACATACAATGTTTTGTGTAAAATTACATAATATCAATGTCAAAAGCAGCATTTGACTCAGGTAGACCACTTCAGATTAAAAATTCATGATTGTATTATGTGTACAGTCTTTCAAGAATCTGAAATATCAATAGTATGGAACCAAAACTTTATACTGAAGAAAATTTACCTTTGTTGTAGATTTGAGAATTGATATTGGATTACCCAAAAAATCTCAGTATAAATGTGCCAAAATTTCTATAAATAGAAGTGATGGTCAATTGGTTGATACACATGGTGAAATTTCTATGTCAGGAGATCCAAAACTGTTAGCTATTGTTAACCAAGGTTGGAAACATGTGGGTGTAATTCATTTTCTAATCCATTGTACTCTGCTCTCTTAAAAATACAAAATACATCAAGAGAAATATAATTACAGATTTTCAATTTTGTACATCACATTTGCATAAACATTAAACAGTTCCCATTTTTGTGCTGGATTACTTGCCTAATTCTGACAATGTAAAGGTTAATTAGTTTCCATGAAATAATTCTGTGTTTCATATCTACATTAGTTAGATACAGTAGATGGCAGTCAATGTTTTACCAAAGTTTGGTGTTGAAGTAATGACTATCCACTATTCAATTGCTATTTAAAAAGACAACTCATTTATTTTTTCAGGCTCATATTATTAACAATCCTGACTTTATGTGCCTACCATCTGGTTCTTCTCATGGATTCTCAACTGCTGAAGCATTGGCTAAATTTCACAGTATCCTAGCAGCTGGTGGTACATTGAATGGTAAACAACTAATATCAAAATATACTCTTGAGCTAATGAAACAACCACTTACTAAAGGTTATGATGTAACTACTGGAGCTCAAGATATTTTTGGATTAGGTATTATGATATTTCCAGTTGTAGAAAATGATAAGGTACGAAGATTAGTTTCTAGTATTTAATGGAATGTTATATTTCAGTAATTTATATTATTAAATCATTAAAAGTTTGATTACAATGGAGTTATAGGGCGCAGTTGTCTGTTTTAACAATTAATAAAGCTCAAATTTAGCTATCCAAGCATTTTTGGATATTGAGCATGTTCTTTTCACAAAAAGCATGAATAAGTTGTTTTTTAATGAATGAAAGTTTTAACTCTAATTTCAGGTGACTTATATGTTTGGTCATAGTGGTTTTGGTGGGCAGATAGGACTATCAGATAGTCAGTACCAAGTTGGATCAGCTTATATCACCAATCATCTTAACTTACTTTCTACTTTTAAATCTGGGGTACAAGACAGTAGATATTTAGTATATCAAGCCTTGTATAAATGTATTCATAAGATTGAAAAGAAAATTGTTAAGAGGACTGTGTTTCAGTCACTAGCTGACATTCAAAATGCTGTTAAAAGTAAATTGTGATTTAATAAAAATAAACCAATATAAGCTACCTTACTCAGCTAATCTAGGACAGGGTGTATATTATATAACCACTTTAATAGTATAATTTTTTGTCAGGATGGGGTGCACACTAATTATGGTGAACTGCGATATATTCACAATAATGATCTATGTGGCCTCTTCGAAGGGGATTCTAATCCCTAGCTCACCATCAAAATTTTTGCCTTCAAATCCATGTGTCTAGAAAGATCCACATTCAAAAGTTCAAACGACGACTGTCTCTTCATTTTATGAGAATCTGCCATATATAGAAAAGACATATATAGAAATAGAAAGTGAAATTTCTAGTTTGAGGTATATTTGAAGGAATTATGTGATTTTCGTGCAGTTCTAGTAAATATGTACCATGATCTTGAAAGTATCTATTCTCTTTCTCAAATATTTCTTTCTTCTTAAAGACAATTAACAGTGGTCACTTCGATACAGTATCAACATCATGCAAGGACGACATGATTGAGTAAAAGACTTTTTACAAACATCACATTGGTAAAGTTGCATGTTCTGAGTAAAATACTTTTTTTTATAAACATCAGATCAACATGAGATTTTTTTTGAACTATCTGTTCACAAGAGATATCATGCTTCCAACAGTTACAATGATGTGGTTTTTTTGAAGCATTTTCTAAAGGCCTAGCTTAACTCTAGCACATCTTTTGATATGTAACCTTGTAAATTAATACCGGTAAATAGAATAGTAAGCCTTCAAATCAGTAAATCTTGAAGAGTTCATACTGTAAAAAATTACTATTATTAACTGTTTCACATTTAGAAATGAGAATCAAATAATTATTATAGGCAGGCCTTAATTTACTGTTATTGCAATGTCAAGGTCAGTAAACTAATATCTCCATGGTAGTTATGACGCTCAATAACCATTAATTTTGGTTAATACTAAGGATTTTTTCTGTTTTGTTGTGTGACTGGTGAACCGTGTACATTTGTATATAAAAGTATAACTTTGAGATTTTTGGTTTGGAAAATAAGAAGGCAAGTTTTTATACTTCCTAAAATATACAATTTAAGATTCAGAAGGTTTAGATATAGGAGGGCCATATTCTGCTCAGCTATTAAAAATAAATACAATGTACATTTTTTAAAGCCACACTAGGTTGTATTATTAAACATAAATACATGTAGTTTCAGATATTTAAGCCAGGGCGATTATTTAAAGTAATTATTCCATTTACACAAAATACTTTATAAAGGCAAAATAAACTCAGATTAAGAATATGAATTAGGTATGATAACTGAAAGAAATTCTTGATTTGTTTTTCAGTTTGCCAGAAGAAATGTCATACTATCAGGTAATATGATTTCTATTGGCCATTTAGCTTCCAAATATAACTGATATGAAGTTACTGTCTTTGTTAATTTCTTGATAAATCGAATTTTGTCATTTTTGTAAAGACACTTAAAAGCATTAAAACAGTACTGATAGTTACAATGGCAGCCTTGGAAAAAAATATTAACAGATATACATGTAAATGTAGTTAACATCGAATACAATGATTTAGTTGACATTTGGACTGTTGACTTAGAGAAAGGCTTTAATCATCTATAATAACAGTAAGTTAAACATAATCAGATCTTGTCCTTTTAGCTCAAAAGATAGTCCTTTCGATGATTAAGTAGAGAATTCTTTTTTTATAACAATTCAAAGTTATATGATTTCTTTTATCAGAGTAATTATCCTGGACAGACTGTTAATTATTACGGACAAGGTGCTGGATATCAAGAACATAACTATGATAACAGTGCCTATAATGTGAACCAATATGGCCAACAACCTCAGTATGGAGGTAGGGTTATTAAATGATGTTTAACTTCATAATATCTAAATTACTATGAAATTATAGGATAAATTGTGTAAAATTTGTGGGAACAATGCACTCAGATGTTTATGCACTCAAATATTTGAGATGTTGAGTTAGTAAACTAAGTGGTATTGAGTGTTGTGGAAGGTAATGGAGGTAAAAAATAACTTTGTCACAAGAGCTATATATAAGCTTATGGTTTGAGAATGTTCTTGGGGATATTGTCATCTACCATCTAATTATAGTTATGTATTAAACTATCAGGTTTGACTTGATTTCAGGTGGATACAGCTATGTTGCTGGTCAGAATCAGTCAGGTGCTGTACCAGGTTTTACTGTACCAGCAGTTCAACAATTTGCACAGATGAACCAAGGACTACAGGTATAGAAATGAATACAATATTTGAACATGACTCTTCTTTTACATGTGTTCAAGCAGAAAGACAACGCTAAGACTATTTGTAATAACCTATCAAACCCACTCTTGCATTGCATTATAGAATAATTCAATGCATGATACTGAATATCTTAAGAGTTCTTTATGAGTGCCAGACAAACTTATATTAAAATAATTATTGAATTCGAGGAATATGATTCAAAACTATATTCACTATAAATATGAGTATATAAAAATCGTTTATTTTTAAGGCACCACCACCAATGCAAATGCCAACAACTGGAACCATAAATCATTATGATAATCATCTGATGCAGTTTCAGATGCAACAACAACAGATGCTGCAGATGCAGGTAATTAGTTATAGATCATACAGTCCAACCCAGCCGTATTATATTTTGAAAAATTCTAGAATTAAAAAGTTTTGGGACTCCATTATAGTATGTCCATAAATGCAAAATAGTGAAATTGAAAGTGAGGGTTTCTATGTATCGGATGTGGGGACATAGAATAATGGTAGTAATAGTCAGCTGGTTTAATGATGAATTATTTATCATTAAAATATATAATCAAGATCATTTCTATAGGTCTGGATAATAAGTAGTGATAATTTGTACCTTTTGTGTATATATCTTAGACAAATTTGTTGACTTACTGTGTGTTGAAAATACTTTCTTTAAAACTAATTTTTTTTTGTAGCAAATGCAAATGATGCAAACACAAATGATGATGATGAATCAATCTAATAGAAGCAATAATGACAGTGGTAATGATGATAATGATGGTGGCAATCAACAACAATCAACAACAGTAAGATTAATCTTAAATATATCATTAATATTTTTCATTTTGATGGCGACAGAAAAAAAATCCAGAATGAATTAGAAAAATGATTACACATGTTTGTTGACAAAAGCCTTTTCAGATTAAGGACAAGAGTGTTCCTCATTTCCAAACCTGAACAATTTTCCATGAAAAGTTTTGTCTTATTTTGTAAAATTAAGTGGTGTTGAGGTGAAAGCTGATATTGAAACACAGAAGTTTCCAAAAAACAGAATATTAGGCCTATATATTGCGAAAACAAAGTATTGTTCTCATAATAGGCATGTAATTAACCTTTTTTTTTTAATAATTGTGTCATCACTAATGTTGATAACTGTTTAATTGGTGTGTCTGCTAATTTAATATTGATTGTCACTTGTGTTTGGACAGTTCTGTGTTGTACATCGTTGAAGGTAACTTGGAGTCAGTGTGTTGCATTTGCAAATTTTTGAAATTATAAAATTTGGAGGAAAGGTTGAGGTCTTAGACTAGGGACATACAAAGGTATATTCATAGGAGATACTTTAAGCGTCAATGATGTATCTTTAATCATTTATCTTTATTAGTGAACCATTTTTATTTTGAAATTGTTGTTAATTATTGGATAGTGGTTAAAGTTTTGACATCTTAGACTTTGGAAATTGGCCTGTAATTATATATTTTGCATAAGAAAATCTTAGCATGTCATAACAGAACAAAATTAGTTTGAAGTTAATTCTACATGTGCATGAGATCTATGATTCTGTTCACCCATCTTTTTTGTAGCCCAGTATTTCTGAAGAAGAAATAAGAGAACAAGTAAGAATCAAAATGAAGGAATCATTTGTCAATGAATTGGTGAGAAGAGAGAAAGTTTCAGGGACGTTTGAAATGACTTCTGGTACAGTAAAACCACTTGATAAATACCCAGCAGATGATCCTGTAGTTGACTGGTTTAATGAAAATAAAGATCAAGATTTAACTGATACAGATTGGTCTTGTGAAAATGATTGTATCTATCTGAGGGATGCAATGAAAGGAGCAGGTACAGTAACTGTAAAATAAATCTGATCCAAGTTGCCCACAGGCCCTTAGCTAGCCCAGGAACTCAACAAGTCATTCAAGTCATCTAAATTTTACAAGCTTTTGCTCTGTAGATGTGACTGAAGTTACAGCTCAGCTGATGTTGCTGAGACTTTGAATTCATATTGATGAAATCTCAGAATCATAAGATATATCTGATTTTGATAAAACTTGGTATTTATATTAGATCATAGCATAGACCTATTGCCTCAGAACCATCTGTTTTCATTGGAATGTGTTCATTGTTTCAATATCTTGAATGATTTCAAAATTTTTTTAACTGTTGCGTGGGTGGGTAAATGAATAATTGAAATTTCTAGACAGAGTCAATTACTATATGATTGATAATATTCATTTATTTGTTCATTTTGATTTTAAAAAATTGATGAAATTTTATTGTAGGAAGGTAGAAGACAAAATGATTTTTACCTTATTGAATGTTTAATAATCTGTTTGATTTAATTAAGTCAAAGTATCTCAGTGGATATAGTGGTTTATTTGATTTACCAGTTAAATTTATTAATTCTCATATTAAGATAACCCTGACATTATGACATCATTATGTCAACTGCCTATAGAAATAATACAAACTGTATTATACTATATTATAGGAACCAATGAAGATGCTATCATACATATCGTTTCTACTAGATGTAATGAACAACGTCAACAATTAAAAAAATCCTTTAAAACTTCATACGGCCGAGTAAGTATTCTATGGAGCCCCTAAGGCGCAATTGTAAACATATTTATTTATTATTTCGTTTAAACGAAATAATTATTTCGATTAAACGAATTAATTATTTCGTTTTAACGAAATACCCTATGTTTATTTCGTTTAAACGAAATAATCAATTCGTTTAAACGAAATAACTAATTCGTTTAAACGAAATAACTAATTCGTTTAAACGAAATAATTAACAGAGAAACAGAGAAACCCTTGTCAAAGAGTTTCGTTCAATGTGCCCAAAATCAAGGTGATATTTCTCTATGTCGAATAATTATTTCGTTTAAACGAAATAAAAAGATGGGTTAATTATTTCGTTTAAACGAAATAGACGAAAAAATTAATTCGTTTAAAGGAAATAATAAATAAATATGTTTACAATTGCGCCTTAGGGGCTCCGTAGTATTCTTACACTACATGTGATACTTTAAACCTAAATTGAGCGATACATCTATAAGGTGAGCACTTGTAAGTAAGCTCTTTGCTACTGAGCTTTGTTCCATATAACTTGTACAATTTGACATGTCTCTTGAGTCCAATTCTAGTGAACAGTTCAGAACTGTTTATTAGTCATATAATAATATTTGAATTACAGGATTTAATAGAAGATATTAAAAGTGAATTAAGCGGTGATTTTAAAGAGACTGTCATGGCATGTTTTGTTAAACCAGCTGTATATGATGCTTGGTGTATTAAAGAGGCTATATATGTAAGTTCATATCGCTAACCTGCAGGTGTGGTATTGAAACAAAATTCCAATACAATAGTTATGGTTGATTTCTTGCAGTATCCTCAAATCTTTCTTTTTTCATGCCAAGCAAGAAATTGTTCCAAAGAAATTTTATAAACAAAGAAAAAGTTTTTTGAAATTCCTATAGCACCAGTAAGCTTATATCATTGATTTTCCGGCTGTGAAGCATTTAATTGCAAAAATTTCAAAATAGATGATTATTTTCAATGGATAGTGTGACTTCTCACAAGCCAAATAGACCAAGTACAAGACTATATATTGAATATGTTCTCAAATACAAAGTCATGAAAGTTTTTTCTATTGACAGGGGCTTGGTACAGATGAAGAAACATTAGTAGAAATATTAATGACAAGAACTAACGCTCAGATTAATGAAATGAAAGAAGTTTATGGAGATGGTAACAATTTTACTTCCTTTATAAAATTTTCTTGTGACTGTCCAGGACAGGCTGTCCTGTACAACAAAAATGCTTCAAATATGTGGTCAGAAATTGTAGACTTTGCTAATTTTGCAGCAGTGGTATTGCCCAGGTTATCCTTTCTGAATAACAGTCAACAAATTAACAGAATGCTGTAAGAATGCAGTAAACACTGGATTCATAAAGTTTTAAATTTCTATTGATGTTTAGTATTGAAATATTTATTCCAGTCGTAAGTCCTAATAGAAAAACAACAGATACACAATTAGAGAAGGATATTGAAGAAGATACTAGTGGAGATTTTAAACGTCTTTTAATATCAGCTTCACAGGTTTGCTTTTTTATCTGCATTATATCTTATCCAGGCCAATTTACTTGATATTCTTTGAACATGCCTCTAGGAGACAATTAAACAAACAAGCAAGAAACACTAGTTTTCCTCCCATAGCAAGATAATGATGGTGTCTGAAACCCTATAGGTGTAAATACAAATACTTAGTTTAGAGCTCAAAACCACTAAATGTGGCATGAGAAATTTTCTTGGGATTCTAACCGTGTAGATGACAATCTACTATATGTCACCTTTCAAAGACTTTATTGTTGAGCTAAGGTAGAGCATGCTTGTTCTTGTCTGATATGTATTGCCAATATGATTAACTTGGCACCTCTTATACAGTCTACATACCTAATATTGTTGATATATCTATATTACAGGGTAATCGTAATGAGATAAAACCAGGTGTATTAGAGTCAGCTGTAAGAGAGATTGTAACCGATGATGGAGAGGGTACTGGTATGTATGAAGTAAATTATGATGCTCTAACTGATATGGATCAAGCCAGAAGAGATGCTGAAGAGTTATATCAAGCTGGTGAAGCTAAATGGGGAACAGATGAAGAAACATTTAACCGTATCTTCTCAACTAGAGATTACTATTCATTACGAGCTATCTGGAAGGAATATGTTAAGGTTTGTTATTGTAAAACCATCAGGTTGTTTCTTATGATCTAGAATAGACATTTTTATAAATCTTTGAACCAGTGTCTAGTTGAAACTACATGTCCCTCTGATTATTTCTGGCATAGCCAAGTTCTCAAATTGAACTTGCAGAGCTTGTTGCATAACTTTTTATTCTGGAAAATACTCCAAATCTTTTTGTGAGAAGTAATCTTTTCTTAAATGTAATTTTTTGTCCCCAATTTTCTTTTTTTTTCTAATCAAACTATGCATGAGTAAATTCAATCATTTTTCACTTATTTAGAATGCAAGGTCCAAGTCCAATATTAAATCCTGAAAAATTTTTTTTTTTTAATATTTTAGATAACACAGAGAGATATATTAAACTCTGTAGATAGAGAGACGTCTGGTGATTTTAAATCAGGATTACGTGCTATTGTAATGAATATAAGATGTCGACCTATGTTTTTTGCTGAGAAATTAATGAGAGCTATGAAGGGTTTAGGAACAGCAGATAAAACTATCATTAGAGTCATAGCATCCCGTTCCGAGGTAATTTCTTCTTAAACAGTCAAAAATTAGCTTTAATCAAGTGTCAAGTCAGTCATTCTGAAGTGAATTCTTTCATAATTCTTGTCCAATGAGATTTAAGCACCATTGTTCTCAAGTGTAAGAATTGATGTTTTATTACAGAAGATGTGTATAACACAGTTAATAATAAGATAATAAATATTTTTATTTGATTAAATTGACAATTGCATTTCAGATTGATATGGTACAAATTAAAGAGTGCTTCTTACAGTTGACAGAAAAAACATTATGGAAATGGTTGGAACATGACTGTAGTGGAGATTATAAGAAATTACTCCAGAAATTAGTTGGCAGGGATTAAAGTGTTAACTCATTGAATATCATTTTTGCTTTTTATATACATGTATTTTAAGCATTCATTCTGCCTTGAAATCGTGGATTTATTTGTGGAAAATGATATAGAAAGTTAAGTCTATACGATTGTTTCTTCAACTAATTCATTTTAAAGTATTCTTACCATTTTGTCATGTGCTTTTGTCCAGAGTTATCTCTTTCATCGGATAATTTGTGCTTAATCTTTTTTTTTTTTTTTTTTTCCACAAAATTCAGCAGTGTATCTTTAAGTCATAAAGTTTAAAATGTTGTCCAATTTGCTATCACTGAGAAAGTGTTTCAGGGGAGGTAATTCTCTTGGAAATACAGAAATATGAAAAAGAAAATTTCCTAGCTTGTCACACTGTCAAATAATTCAAGATATTTAACAAGTTTGAATGGTTTTGAGTCTCAAAGGATATACATGTAGTCCTGAAGGCTACATTTTTCTTTTAAATAAATGGATATAGCATAGCACATTACACCAAAAAAAATCGTCTGATTATAGAGAAAATTGATATTAACTCTTGAATTGAGGGTTTCCTTGATCTATTTCAACATGTCTACCATGTCCGGGACCTTATATTTTATTTTTTTGCGTTATGAGTTAATAATTTACCCAGCTGATTAAGTACATTAAGTACTAGTTATGATATTTTTGTGACTAGACTTTAATAGTAATTATGTCTTCAACTGTTTCTACTGTCTTGACTATAAGAGTGTTATTAAAAAGTAATATTTAAAGCACTTCCATAATTTACCTGTAGCATTGTTTGTTTTTATCGCCATCTGTGATATTTACTACTATATTTTATTTTTTGTTATCTGTTCTAGTAGTTATGTGATAAATAAAACATTATTCATGAAGTCTTTGTCAAACATTTCAGCTGATGATATTTCAGCTATTTCCAGATAGCGTTTCTGGAAACACATATTCATATTTCATATTTGCAATAAAACTTACACAAGTTATAAGTGCTGGAAAATTTTAATTTTAGAACTGATATTTGATTTTGATGTGTGTCTGTTGATCAGGATAATCACCATGTTGTAGTACACAATGCATTTTTTTATTGTCCTATTAATTGACAAAGACAGCTTGCCAAATCAACCCCTACATCATACCATGTTGACAAGGGTTCTCAACAGTTGCTAGAAGTCAACCCACTATTCCAGATATCCATAAGAGATCTGTAGCTTATTTACTGATCCATTGATTTTCTGAACATGAAGAAAACAATATTAAGAAGCAATATTCTTCAAGTGAATTGTGCAAAATTATTCACATATACTAAGTCTAAAAACCAAACAACTGGTGCAAATGAAAATAATTTTAATATGCTATAAGTATAACAAAGTCTTATAAACCATAATAAATTGTGTCATTTATTCAATATCACATTCGTTATAGAAAAACTGGTCTCAAAGAGTTGACTGATTTTCACTGTCTATCTTTGAGGCCAGTTTGAACAATCATATACATCTACATCTTACTGGTTTTATATAACAAAACTTATAAACATACAAAACATGTATTTTTCATTGCTAATATCAGCAACAAATATACAAACAGTAATACATAACACTTGCTGTTAAGAAACTTGAGCACTACACTTTTTCTACAGGTGAAAACATTTGTGCATCCTAAAAACATTAAAACATCTTAATAATTCTGCACTATATAATTCATCAAGACAGAAATTAGACTATTATTTTGGCATAAAATATCAAAGACTGATTTTGCCATGAATGAATTATGAAAGTTAATGAAGATGAAATAATACACTAAGTCACTCTCTAAAATGGATTGAGTCATCTCATGTCTAAATGTAAAGGAAATGATAGTACTATATATATACTTAAAATGATAAACAAATCAATCCAATGAAGACTGCAGATTTAAAGAAAGATTTAGACTAAAGATAGTTGAAGTATAAAAAATCAGAATAATTTGATCTCTTTAATTAAATTATTAGTATTTTGATATTCTGCATAAAAAGCAAACTATGACTAAAATATTGCTAACATACATGCTTTTTTCCCCTCAAATTTACTCAATAATGTGACTGAATAAATCAAACGTGAAATTGGTAATGAATCTAATACAAAGTTACAGAAAATGACCTTAATTGAATTAATAAAAATTTAAAAAAAAACCTAAAAATTCTCTTTAAATTATGATTAATTCACTTCAAGTATGTTAAGTTTCATTAAGTATATTGACAATGATAAACCATATTACATCCTATCAACTCAAGTTTTAATACAAATATGTCATTCAATTCTGATATCATGAGTAAAGGACATAAACCATTTTAAATTAAAACATACTTCCAAGAAAATATACAGTTCTAATCACATCTGGGAAAAACTAAATTGAAAAGATATCAGATGCAGTAAATTAATAATGATTTACAAAAGTAATGTCTTTAAATGTAATTACAGTATGAATCTTTAAGCTAGCTATAGATTAAGCTGTTATTTAATGTCTCTATGAATGTATCTATTTGAGTCATTTAAGACAATATAAGTCAGTATGTTACTGGTACGAGTTCAAAAGTTCCAGGAAATACTTCAAGAATCATATATTATATTGAACTATAATAGGTCTGAACTACAGTAGGTCACTCTATACACATAAAACCTTGCAAGTAATACAGTTTTAGCAGCAAAACCCAGCGAGTAATTTATAATCAAATGCAAAACCTTGAAAATCATTAATTATTTACAAATCCATCTACGGTAATAATTAATAATCAACAGAAAACCTAATTAATATACAGAAAAACTTTTATCAGCCATTCCTAGTGAGTACCGGTAACTTATTTTAAGCATCAAAACCCAGCAAGTAATTCATTTTAACAGCAAAACCCATCAAGTATTTCATAATCAACACAAAAAAAAACTAGAGAGTAATCAGCCTTACATAGCAAGTAATAATGTTTTTACAGCAAAGTTTAGTGAGTAATATATTTATAACAGTAAGTAATTCATTTTGATAGCAAAACCTAGAGAGTAATCATCTTTCTGAAGCTAGGTTTAATAAAAGAAATGTGCCAAGTACTTATTAAACTGTCTGGCCTGAAGATAATTACATAAATTAAATTAAATGAATACATAAGAAAAAAGAAAAAAATACATAACTAATTTTAAAAGTAAAGAGAACATGACATCTAATAGTCATTATAACAAAGTGCAGCAAAAGTCAATCAAATATCAGCTCAAAATAATGACAATAATTTTTTGTGTAGTATGAAAAGAAAAAACTATAAATAAGAAAAAAGGTAAAATTAATTTGGCTTTTCAAGCAATCTATAATTAAATCAGTTTTAAAAATTTTGAGTAGAAAAAAATGAACTTAAATGTAGTTAAAAGTAGGAAAATTACAAAATGTTTTTTGAAACTTTGAAATCAATTATTCAAAATATTTGTTGACACTATCAAGAAACATACATTGAGCTTTAAAGCCACAAAATATATTGTAATGACATAATAATTGTAAAACCAGTAATAATAATGTATAGAGGTGTTATGTTTGAACAGTTCAATTCAATTCATGATCATTAACCATCACTTAATCTTGGTTATTCAGTTAAAAAGAACTTATGTTAAGTCCAAATTCTAGATAAAATATAACATAAAATTGCCTGCTAGCCCTCATTGCGTGTATTAAGTAGAACTTTTCTCCAGAAGCACTATAATATTTTGACTAATATCAACACTGAATCATGTTCAAAATTAAAAATTCAATTCTTTCGGGTTACAAGAAACTCTTTTGCATCTATTGTGTCAGATTTGCCAAACTTCTCAAGTCAAGTTTAGAAATGTGCATGTCAATTTTTGATGTTTCCATCACGGTTTGAATTCTCCATTTTCAATTTCTGATTTTCAAGACTTGTTTTCTTCTGGTGCGAAGAATAGCTGAAATGATATAATGTAAAACACATTTCCAGACCAGCACCGTCTGCATGTTTAATACTGCTTTGCTTCTTATGATAATTGATAAAAACAATATTCACATATTATCTGCATATGGTAATCGTTGGTAGCTACTTTGATTGCATATCATGGAATATCTTCGTAGATTCCAGTAGAATCTTTGTGTGTACTTGTAATACTATCAACATTACTATATACAGGAGACCCTGCTGATCGTTTTGCACAACCATTTGTGTCAGATCCTTTCTGATTTTTTAGAGAGTTCACATTAGATGCAACTTGGTCAGCATCTGGTAAAGGTGGTATGGCCACACCTGAAGCCATATCGACATATTCATTGACACTTCTGGTGGATGTTTCCATAATAGATGGTATGGTACTGGTGCTAGGTAATGGAGGGATAACAGGAGTATCAGCTTGAGAGCTAGCTCCACTAATAACAACTGATTCTGCACTAGAACCTTTACCTGCCTGGCGTACATTGTTTCTATTTTGATTTGGTACATTGACTATTAATGGACATGTAACATGGTTAGGATTGATGATCATATGATTGGCAGGTTTGTTCACTTCTTCATATAAAGTGTTCACTTCTGCTGGTGTTAAATACACATCACTATCATTACGAGGTCTATTATGGAAAACAGCAGTAGAATGACTGTTGTTATAGTTATTGGTATCTACGTAATTTTCATTACCATAATTAGATGCTGGTATTTCTCTAGAATATTTCTTCTTTTGTCTGAAAACAAAACAGAATTGAAAAGTTCAATCCTAGATTTTGGACTGATTACAGAGGATTCCAACCAAACATTGGCTTTATTTACAAAGATCACTGTATTTCTATAAGCAACTAGTCATTAAGAAATCACTGCAGAGGTCCTAAATCTTTGTAGTTATTTTGTATTGGAATACATTTGCCATCCATGATCTGACCATATAGTTATGTAACACATGTTCTAGGTCATTAAAATATTCAAACAATCAAATGCTCTATTTAATAAAAAATTTCGGGGATATTCATTGACAATGACAAAGCTTTGACAATATATTCAAGAAGAATTTTGTAAATCACAGATAACCACTGTTGTAACAGCACGGAAAAAATCTACAACTGAATATTGATCAGAAGAAATGTATAATATGATAAAAGTGAGATACTTACAGATGTCTGTAGATGAGGAAGGTCAATATTACCAATAACAAAATAAATATTCCAGTTCCAATAATAATACCTAATATCATAGCTACAATATTAAAAATTACAAAATCAAACTAAATACTCTTTCTTTAAAGATTGTTTTGACCAAAATAACAATTATTCATGAGGACAAAGTTTCGAGAACCATGGCCCTCCTGAGTAACCACACCTACCACAGTACAATTATGTAATTATCATTGTCTTAGAGTTCATTTAAAATGTTCGGGGCTAAAAACAGTTGTAACAAATTTGTCAGAATGTTTGTTGATGTCTAAATTACTAATTTAATAGGTTAACATTAAATCAATTAAAGGACATCCAACTTTGTATCAATTCAGTTATCTGTTGTCATCAACAGTGAATGATTATCAATCTTGGAAATCTTTCCACTGCCCTATGACCAGATAAATAAATTCAAAACTCATATAGACTTACTGTTGCCATTATCAACTGTATCTGATGCTATATGTTGTTCAGGTTGTACAACTCCTTCTCCACCAGCAATAGCTGTAAATACATAATTACAAAATAATTAGAATCTTTATTTCTATATAGCTTTGCCTAATACCTAATATGGACAGATCTACTGGATATATTTTAGAATATTTACACTGGTAGTCTGATAAAAAAAATAAGAACTGAAACTTATGGTGAAGAAGTTTGAAAAGCCAACTGTTTTTGACAAATTATTTGGGCTACTAACATAGAAGAAATGACCTAAAATGACTTCAGAATGTCAACAAAAACCTGGAGATTGATGTTCATCTATCAGCTCTTGCTATCTTTAAGAGACAAGATTATTTAGTCTATATTGTAACATAACGTTTTCTCTTACGCTCATTGTAAATTTTTCTAAGGATTTATTTTTCTATTTGATTAAGGCCATGGGGCCAAAAATTTCTTTAACAGAAATTTCCTATAGGAACAAATTAGAGTACAAAATATATTGATTTAACCATCAAGATTTTCATGATTTTTGACAGCTGCTATATGAACTCTTGATTTAGCATACTTTATTTATTATTTATGACATTTATATCACAGAAATAGCAGAAAATAAAACTTGTTTAGTTTATGCAATAATTGTTGATGTAGGTCAATACACCCAACTAATATAAACTGTTTAGAGTCTACAGTGAAGGCACTTTAACATATTTCATTAAAATATAAATCACCTAAACAATTTTGTCATAAAAAAGAAATAAAATCTATTATCTAATAACTCTTAGAAAACGTTGTGTAGGTTGTTACTTTATAAACATGTCTTTAACTTAAATAAACAGTTGAATAATTTATAAACAAACTCTCCCCAAATTATTCTCCAGAAATATTCACTATTGGGTGGGAAAAGATCATTTAACACTTTCAGTTGTCTTATCTCTCGTTAATCTTTAACGTAGGCGGAAAGCACAGAAGTGTCACTGTTTACATTATTCTTATCTTTGAGGATATATTTCCTAAAAAAAATTACAGTTTCATACTGTGTCAAATGTATAAAGTCAAATGCACAAAAGAATTTCATATTATTATAATCATTTTGAAATATGATAACATGCATTAAGACTGATAAAATTAAACTCAAATGTGGCCATTTACAATAAAATAGCTGATAAATATAAATTTGCAGGAGATTTAAAAAACAAAAATTTTAACATCAATCGAAAAAGACAAACTTAAAGTGATTGTAAAGAGGTTCTCTATACTTTTTATGTGTATCGGGGACACTGATAGCATCAATTTGCACCATTCCAATTTTCATTTCGACATCTGTGGTTCTTGCCATTCCACTAAAACAAACGCGCTTTTTGACGTCACTAGAGGGGAACTGCAAGGATTTCAATAGTAGCTTCCAGTAGCTCCCCTTAAGGAATTTATTTATTCCATTATTCTTTCAGTTTCAGATTCTTGAAAGCATTTGTTTCAAACAAAAATTCAAAGATGTCCACAATTCATATTATCAAAACTTAAATATAAGTTTCCCTTTTTATGTTTTTTTAAGTAACCTTTTGCTTTTTTTTTAATAACAAATATTTTGCTGGGAAGTAAGAACATTTCAATTAAATAGTCAATTGATAATGTATAAAAATACCTACGGAACTGACAGATAAAATCGTAAGTATATCTCATTAAATGACAAGGATAGTCATGCCATCTCCATCCATCACTTCTTCTCATTATCCCACAATCTTCAAATGAAATCCCAATTACACTTTGACTAGGCTGACCACTCGCCCAATAACCATAATGCAACTTTTTACCTAAAATTATAACAGAACAAATTACTATTTAAGATGAACAAAATCATGACTAAATATCACAAAACTGGATAGACATACTTATTTGCAAGCATATCTTCCAGCTAGCTGGCAACTACCCTTGTCCCAGTCTGTATCTTTGAGCATCAAAATTATATTTTGGGGGAATGGCTTAGACATTAACCATGACTACTTTTTAAAGAATTGAAGCAATTGTCAGCCTTTCATTGTCCCTATTTCTTGATAACGAGAATTACACCCCCAAGCAATAAGGAAACTGTTTAGTAAATAATGTTTTCACATTTTTAGTTATAAACTACTTAAAAAGTCAAATAACAGTCCTTTTCTACACAGCATGGCCAAGTTTGCCCTATACCTAGAAGTTTCAGAACTACAGTACATATTATTGTGGTGTATAAAAACAGAATAAAAATATGAATATTCTCTTCAATGAATGCTTTTTGTAAGAAATAAGAATAGTTTTACCTGTGGTCCATCGCCATACTTTTGTATTGTCATTATATTTTGCACCAATCCAAACACCATTTTTAGAATGTGTTCCACCATTTACGTTTAAAAATTTAGCCATGATATGATTCATTGTTTTTTTATTTTCTATTGATACTAATTCACCGCCTAGGTTCCAACAATAGTCCCTAGCTTGATCCCAGTATTTCTCCTCTCCAACATACATATAACACATATCATCTAATAAAGATACAGGATCAGGTCGATTTCGGATCACTTCAGGACATCTATCACGATCTCTTTTAAATCCAAGTACTGAAAAGATATATCTATAACAAATGAATTTATACATAAATTAAATTACTCTTTCAAGGAGCATGAAATTTGGAAACATTAATATCCATACAACTACTTTAATTCTGGATTCCAATCTGGGACATACAGGTCTGCAGCTTATCCTGTGTGAGATCTGAAGATCAAAGGCGAAATACAGACTACTAAAAAACGCAATAAGATTATTGAGATTGATCATTATTGTTATCAAGACTGACATTTCAATACTTATCACTGAAATAAAAATCACACCATGGACTCTATGGTATATCTAAAATATATTTTTAACCAGCCATGATGTCTGTTTGATTCTAGAACATAATTTAAAAAAGATTCAATTGTGATTTTTGTATTACATGATTAGTTACTTGTCTTGAAAGAAAAAACATTGAAGTCAATTGACATAATATAATTTTTTATGTGTGATAATTAATAAGCTTATTCACAGACACAGCAATGATGAGAAAGATTTGTTTTACAATTTGAATTTCAGGAAATCTGTGACTTCGATTAACCAAAGAGCTGGCTAAATGCTTAAATAATATATGCACTTGCCAAATTGCTAAACTTTTTGAGTACTTGTTAGTTGTTGGTGCAGATAGCGGAGGTTCCAAAGTACACTTTTGTAGAAAAATTCTATTTCTTCATAAAGAAGAGAACTAGGGAAAATTGATATGTTTGTCAAGGCTGGGTTGACTGAGTTGAAGCTTGCTGCACCCTGACATGACATTAACAGATGTAGAAAGTTCAGTGAGTTAAATAGGTTATTAATGCCGTCTGCTTGAGATTCTGGTGGTTTCAGATAAGAAAATTATGAACAGAATGTTATAGAAGTCTGAAATCAAACTACTTGTAAATAATATATATTTACCAATAGTATCCCTACTATTTAATTTTAAACTTTAAGAAAACAAAAGAAAACAATATCAAAACTATTTGTACTTGGTATTCATAATAATCAGTGGTAAGATTCAGGACAATAGGGCCATATCAAAATCATCTGATATTTACTAAACATTAAAAAGTTGAAATATACGCCAATATAAAGTTTAATGGGAATGAAAATTTGTGTAAGGGAAACAAAATAGAGAGGTTTACCACTTGTTAATTTTTATCTTATCAAAAACGAATTTGGCAATCATGACATTTCTCATGAAGTTTCCTAGCAGATATTCTCTGCTCTCCAAATAATTTCAGGTCCTACACTTATGTTGATGAATAAAATGTTCCCTTTATTGAATATGATTCATCCATAGTGTAGCTTAAAACAAATCCCAATAGAATAGTTAGTATTCAATGTGATATTTGGCCAAAATCCAAAAGTGAGTAGCATAGAGAACGATTGTCTATCAGTAATAAAGTAAGATGACATGACTCAATTATCAGGCTGACTGGCATCATTACTGGAACTATAATGATTCATAGGAGCTTATTGATCAGAATGGCTTGATCTGATAAGCTAGGGGTGCTTTCTTACTGATTTCATATATTTCCAATATTTCCATGTTTATGTTTAAGTTTTATTATACTGAGAGATCAAAACCAGATCATAGGTTCCATAGCCACCATGCAGCCACCATTAATTACATTTCAATAAATTTTGTTAAGGGTTTAGTTTGGTATTTTCAGTATTTCAAACAGATTTAACACATTCCATGTATATTGTATACTAGTATTAACATTTAATTCTACTCTGTGTACATCCATGCTTTAGACAGTTGGACAATAGCAGAAAAGTTAAATACACATGTAAAAGATATAATTTGGGATAAAAAGCCTAAAGCATTTCTTAAAATTGTCTTATTTTGCTCTATGTAAAAACATAATAGTAATGAAAATATCAATGACATTTACACTAAGGGGTAAAGAACACATTAAATAACAGAAAATAACATGATGGTATACAACTGGTGGGTTTTATTGTATACAATTTTCAATAATTAACATTACCTGATGATATCACATGAAACAATGATGATGTTAAATTTTTGTGTACAATAAAACTCAGAAGAAGTAGACCATATTACATAATACTGTGTTCTGTTATATTTTTTAAAATAAATATCTAGCATTGGATAGTGGATAACTCAGTTCAAATTAATCCTCCACCCTAATAGTGTATATATGGCTCTGCTTTTGGGTACTTTGTGCAACAAATTATCACATTTATAAGTACAGAGAGGAAGGAACAAGGAACAGTTGGTTCTTCACTATTTCATCTATTTCATCTTGCAAATATTATCAGAAACTTAAACTAATCTTGGACATTTTGGGTAACAGGATAAGAGTTTATCCCATCCCGTTACATAGTACAACATTGTTTTTATATTGACATTGAATCAAATGATGTACTGTAAATTCTATATTTCAACTCACCTCGTTGTTCATAGATAAACACAAGTATCCACACACATAACAGTTCCACAGTCAGTGCCATTGTAGTAAATATTGGATAAATTAATGATAAACCATCAGGAATAGACAGGAATATTGAGAATAGTTCTGAATTTCGACATAGCCTTGATCTCACAAAATTTATGACGATTTGTTCTGAGAATCTGCCAAAGGGGAAATACTTTTAATTTGATTGGCTGCTATTTTTAACTTTGGGTAGACTCATTATCTTAGGAGGGGTTTTGGTTAGTTTTATTTTCAAAGATTTGGATTGATTTAATCTATTTGCATTTCCTGTGAATATTAGTAGTGGCAAAATAGTAATCAAAGATCTGAGTTTAGTTGATAATATGATGGACAAAAATTCATGTTGTACCAGAATAATATTTTAAAATTTGTACACCTTATGTATATAGACTTAACCCCAAGCGTGGGACGTCTGAAGTATTTCGAAATTATCTTGGCACCAATTGATAGAATATAGTAATATGTTAGTTTTGGCATTATAAGTTAGTCATTATGCATCAATATTCATTTGCGAATTTTCCTCAAATTGATGACTAATAAATTAAACAGAAACCATAGAAAATGTTTTTTTGAAAGGACGTGCAAAAGGAGATGGAAAGATTGGTTATGCAAATTCTAAAATCGTGGCATGAAATGACATCTTCTGATCACTGTGCTGTGATTTCTGTTCCAGATTATTTCGTACTCCAAAATTGAAATCCCCAAATATACGTTAGAACGTTCTAGGTCTATACCACTTGGCCCATAGGCCGAGGATATTCGCCACCCGGGTGGCAAACATTTATTATTTATTTTTTTTGAGGCCCGGAAGCGTTTTTTCTCGACATTTTCCGGCGGATTTAAGGATTTTTTATATAGTGTGTAGGAGATCCCACCCTTTGAAGATTTTTAGAATCGGATTCCCAAAAACGCGAATTCCCGACATTCCCTATTAGTTTAAGAAAGCTGGAGCAAAGGCTGAGGGTGGTAAAAAAGACTTTAGGGTGGTTAACAAGAATTGTCGGTGGTATACAAGAATCGTCAGGGGTAAACAATATGTGAGGGTGGTGAACAAGAGCTGGAAGTGGTAAACAAGAACTGCGGGTGGTGAACAGGAACGGAGGGTGGTAAACTAGACCTACGAGTGGTAAAGAAAGACCGAGGGTGGTAAACAAGAGCTGAGGACAGTAAATAAGATTTTTGGGTAGTAAACGGGAGCTGGGTTAATGAATAACATCTAGGGTGGTAAAAGAGAGCCAAGAGTGGTTAACAAAATTCGAGAGTGGTTAACAACAACAAGAGCTTCGGCTGGTGAAGAAGAGCTTAAGGTGGTTAACAAAAGTTGAAGTTGGCAAACAAGAATTGTGAGTGGTAAACAAGTATTGGGGTGGTAAACAATAGCTGAGGGTGGTGAACAAGGTCTGCGGGTGGTAAACCGGAACGGAGGGTGGCAAACTAGACCTGCTGGTGGTAAACAAAAACCGAGGGTAGCGAACAAGAGCTGAGGGTGGTAAACAAGAGTAGGTTGGTAAACAAGAATTGTGGCTGTTAAACTAGACCTACGGGTGGTAAACAACAGCTAGGGTGGTAAAAATAACCCAGGGTGGTGAACAATAGCTGAGGGTGGTAAACAAGAGCTGGGGATGGTGAACAACAACAACTAAGTAGGTGAACAAGAGCTTAGGGTGACAAACACAAATTGTCGGTGTTACACAAGTATTGTGGGTGGTGAACAACAGCTATGTTAATGAAACAAGAGCTGAGTGTGGTAAACAAGAATTATGAGTGGTAAACAAGTGTTGAGGGTGGTAAACAAGTATCGAGGGTGGTAAACAACAGCTAGGTTAATGAAACAAGAGCTGAGAGTGGTAAACAAGTATTGAGGGTGGTAAACAACAGCTAGGTTAATGAAAAACAACTAGGGTGGTAACAAAGAGTTGGGTGGTAAACACAAACTAAAGGTGGTATACAAGAAATGATGGCGGTGAACAACAGGTAGGGTGGTGAACAAGAGCTGAGGGTGGTAACCAAGGTGGTGAACAGGAGCTGGGTATGTTAAACAAGAACCGAGGGTAGTGAACAACAACTAGTGAACAAGAGCTTATGGTGGACAAGAGTTTAGGGTGGTAAATAAGAATTGTGGGTGGTTAACAGGAACAAGAACTGTGAGTGGTTAACAAGAACAAGTATTTTGGATGGTAAACAAGAGCTGGGGTGGTAAACAGGAATTGTTGGTGGTTAACAAGAACTTACTTCCTTCAGCTCTTGTTTACCATCCCCGATTCTTGTTTACCACCCTTACACATTACTTACCACCCGTTAGTATTGTGTATTACCGTACGCCTTATTATCACCCGTATACATTACTTACCACCCGTCAGTATGGTTTATTATCGTACGCCTTATTACCACCCTTGCACATTTACTTACCACCTGTCAGTATGGTTTATTATCGTACGCCTTATTACCACCCGTACACATTACTTACCACTCGTCAGTATTGTGGATTATCGTGCGCCTTATTATACCTTAAACCTTATTACTTCAAATACATATTTCCACCCACCCCAATGCAGTGTATTTACCACCCACATACATTACTTACACATTCGCGATGGCTCCAACCATGGATTGATATTCTTTGGATTTTTCAACTCGATTTCCCCTTGTCGATGTTTGGGATGGAAAATACGTCTAGGATAAATGTGACACAATTTGGACACGCGCCTGCTTTGTCTTTTTTTTTACCATTTACACATCTTCATCAACCTTTTTTTTACTTACGTAAAGATCCCCCGACAGTTGGAAATCGAAAATAAGAGTAGGCTAATGTCGATCGCTGTCCTGACAAAATTTCACTCATTGCACACTGCATGGCGTTTGCCCATCCTCAGTAGCCCATACAGGTGCAGAAATAGGACGTAAAACTTTATTTTATTTCATTTTTTTTTTCTACGGATTTCTCCAATTTTATACAAACGTATGATGCTAAATTTCATAGCAACACTATCAGGACCATTTGAGATGTATGCTAATTTGGTGTAAACAAAATGGCGGAATTTCTACTTTCGTTTCATTGCAAGAAATTTAATTTATATTAACACGATCTTGTCTGAACCTGACAAAATCCATTACAAATTACTCAGAGTCGACATATATGTCACTGAAAGAAACAATTATATCAAAAAGGCTGACATTTCATGAATTTTTAGAGATTTTTTCTGCCACCCGGATGGCGAATAGTCAAATGAATGGACGCCACCCGTTCCGTTTACTATTAGCTGTTTTGTTTTTAATGTAGTCACTAGGTCTACTGTTAAAGTAAAGGTCTAACGACGTCCCTTTTGAAAATTCATCCACGATTTAAATCCTTTTGACTTAACTTGACGACCTCTGCTTAAACCAATCAAATATATCTGGGTTAATTCGGAACATGCAAATAAAAGCTAGGCGTGTTCTTATTTAAATTTTAGTTGAATTGATATACTAGTCTTATGCTCCTGGGAACACACCTTTTGTTCGCGACACAAAATCCCAGCACTGGAAAGGGAAGGAATTTGATTGGTTACAGCAGAGGTCATCAGGTTAGGTCAAAATTTCATTTCTATGTGATTAAAAAAAACAGTAGGTGACTAGGCAAATTATAGTGACCTTTTCAAAATTATGTGAATGTAAAGATTCTAATTTGTGCAGATATGTTATATGAAAATTATGAAATATGTTAACTGATATGAGAGCTTATCGCTTTTGTACGGAGCCCTATCTAGGGACACGGATTTGCCGTATTCGGTGGCGTACAATCCAACATTGACAAACTTCCGTAATGAAATAAAGGTGTCTATAGAAGTCAGATATGTATCGAGCAGCACTACGATCTTTTGAGCTGAATGCTAATATGCTCAGATTTCTGCATTATAATACATGTTTTGGCTTCTCTGATCTGAATTTATGTGTGTGGTTTTGGACTGCCGAATCGAATCTTCTTTGTGTGAGGAACCAATTATTTTTGACAGCTGTTCGGTAAGGCTCGTGCGTGGGAGTGGTTTATATACACAGTGGTAAACCATAATCAGAATAATATACCACATCTTGGCCTTGACATACATCTACATACACTCCTCAAATGTTCCTACTATAGCAAGAACGTGATATATACGTGTAGAACATAATCTTCAATTACATTCAGCACAGTCTATAGAAATATTCAGACCTCCTTTAAAACCAGAACATTTCATAGATCAAATTTCAGTCTTGGTGATTCCTTTTCATTATAAGCCACATAGATCTAGATATTTATATTTTGTTATCATTTAAATTTATGAAAGATAAACTGTGGAAATAAATCTCAAATAAGGCATGGTGGATAAGGACGATGGATCTATTCTAAATGAAATGATTGAGTTTAACGCCCTGCTTTTCTACTCAGTAGGCCTAACTGTGAAAATAGGCAATATAATCAATATCCAGTATTGAAACAATTTAGAATTGCTCTAAGAAAGTATATAAAGTATTTCTCTCACATATATTTGCAGGCGTTCTGATATTATATTATATACGTCCTTGGTGAGCTTAAACGACATGCGAGAATGTTAAATTTATTCGAATTTAAATTGGTAGAAGCAACTTCACTGAAATACATTGTGGGCAAATTATACAATAGAGGGGAAATAACTCTGGTTTTACTGTGACTACAATACTTAAATAGTGAAACAAATCAAAGTGGATATTTTTATCCTCCTATTCTGCATTATCACTCCTGGCAAATTTATTCCATTTTGTTTCTTTTTCAATTTCTGACACAACATCTGACAATGGACAACCGAATTGAAACACCTGAACATGAATGACCTCTACATATGCCATCAAGACCACGAAATATTAGATAGTGTTAGGTTTTTTTTTTTTTATCTTGTAAAGATAGTGATAGGTTAACTTTAATGTAGCTGGGCCTTACATATGCTACTTTGAAGCTAACTTTATATATGTTGAATAAGTCTACTGTAACCAAACAACAGTTATATATAGTTTATGAGTACAAGTCTGAATGATTTCTTGTCACAACATGTATACATAGAGTTGTTTAATCTCTGATTATTTTTCTATAGGCCTAAGCCTTAAACTGGCTTTGACTTTGACCTTGTTATTTTTTTAGTAAGTTTTTGAGGGTGTTCAGTAACGCTGAGAAGGTAACTGTCACAAATTAGAAAAAGAAATTATATTCATTTAGGCCTATTCTTATTTTAAAAACTGTTATTTTATGAAAACCAGGTGGCTGTCTGAGTTGGATCATAAATCAAAGTATTATTTTATTGGCCTAAGCCGCACATAAACATGTCACGTGATATAATCAATACACTGTATCACGTGATGGTGACAGAGTAAATAAAAACAACAACAAATAGTTATATTAGACATTACGAGTCAACAAGTTGATTTGTATTGTAGAAGTTAACATATTGTGAGGAAAATGTCTGCTATAGAAGAAATATTGAAAGTGAAGAAAGTGAGGAATAACAAAGGAGAAGAAGTCGATGTTTCGTCGTTCTGTGGAAAAGATAAATATGTCGGTTAGTAGGCAACTAGTTAATTTCTTGAATATTTTCTGCAATAGTTCATTTTGTTCGTGCTTCACGACATCTGCTGTTCATTTCGTAAAATAAAATATAAGGCCACCTGCTCTGTTCGTAGTACCAGTTTTAATATATATATTACTGTTACTTATTATTATGAGATTAATAGAAAATTCAATGAAATGAATGGAGTTTTATGCCCTACCTTTATGAAAGAGATAAAGGAATGCATCATAGGTATCCTGCAAGTCATCTTCACCACGTCAAGGTATTACCAATTGCATCAATAACTATTGTCTTGATCAAAGAACAAAATTATGACAACCGACCATATTCCATTACTACAACCAAATAAGCTTACAATACAAAGTGTAATCAAATTAGAAGCCCAATGACGATATATACGGAAAAGATTAATATGTCATCCAGGTGACGTCCCAATATATTATATATAATATAATTTATTATAATTTAATATAAAATGTTATTATCCAGAAAACTTGATATGAATTTTTGTGACGGGAATGATAAACCCGTGCGCGGAATAAGACTTCAAGTTTTCTTCACTCGGATAACAATGTTTTGTTTGTTGGACATTAATATGTTTTTTTATATTCACCTTTTGGTGCAGTTACATAAACTATATGTATCTGATCAGGCTTATTCTTGCAGATCTACAGATCAACTAGATAGATGGATAATTTATTCTCTTATACAACCCCGGGAGATAAAGGAGAAATACTAACATAATTTTCAATAACATGTAAATGACCACAGTACATTTATCAGTATTTCGTTTATTTTAATATTATTTGATGTAGACCTGTATTTCTTACATAAGCTATTATAGTAGCCCAACATTATTTGTTATAAATATCATATAAACGACGTTTCAGTTCCATTTTTAGTAACTTAGGGTTAACGATATTGAGATTATGCCGGTAAAAGCATAAGGAACAATTATCCAATACAGATTTGATTTTACAGTCGAGACAATTAGATTTAAAGTTTTCAATAAGAGCGGAAATTAATGCAAGAAGTGAAATTGTTTTAAGGCAACTAAAGAGAGTGATTCCTCTATAATTATCGGTGAAGGAAGATACTACCTTTGGTTTTGTACAAGGACTTCATGGTACAGTCATTTGGCACCCGTCTTTAAGATAACGTTAAACAGTTTTACCATTATTTCGTTGATCTGATTTGATATATTATTGATGTTCATCAACACCATAACGAACGGATGAACTAATCAATAAGTTATAGAAACAAATCAATGAGAGTTAGCCGTGAATGCTCTTATAGAGTCCAGCTATGTAATCATAATAATAGTAATAAAGCTTACATACAGGATCACAGCAAAACATCTGTGGCTTAATACTATACCGGATTATATACATAGTTAGGCAATATTACAATTCATCCTTTTGTGCTAAGGCCTAATTGTATAATGATTATGAATCATTCCATGTACAGAATTTCTTTGGGGACCGTTCGATATATCGTTGAGCATCCATGTTAAAGGGACAGGTGTGCCATTTTGGAGGGTTGATTTTAGTCTTGATTATATGTAAATAGTCTTCAGAAGTACTACAAATGTACGAAATTCACATAATTCCTTTCAAAAATAGGCTACTTCAAACTAAGAATTTTACTCACTATTTCTATATATCTTTTCTATATATCACAGGGTATCTTAAATTGACGAGACGTCACTTTTACATTAAAACACACATGGATTTGAGGGCTCAAATTTCGACATTGAGCTGTGAACACTATTACTGATTATCTCGGCTAATAAATTCCAGTTTCTGATACTAAAGTATGCTAAAAAATGGCTTACCTTTTCCTTTAAATCTATTTGGTTTTTGTGTACAACTTTTCAATTTGACTCCAACTTTTCAGTTTTTCTTAAACGGAGTAAATGAAGACGTTTTTCTATACCCCTTATTTTTCTGAAATGGTTTGAATTTATTTATGCATTGAAATGTTTTTTCATTCAAAATCGTAATTAATCTTATTGTGGATTGGCCATTGAAATCAATTTTGGTAATGTTCAACTGATGGTATCCATTTTATATTTTTAGGTTTGTATTTCTCTGCCCACTGGTGCCCACCATGTAAAGGTTTTACACCTGTTCTTGCTGAATTTTATAATAAATTGAATGCAGAAGGAAAAAAATTAGAGATTATATTCATTAGTTCAGATCGAAGTGCAGAGGAGTTTAAAAATTATTTTGATAGCATGCCATGGTTAGCAATTGATATATCTGAAACTGATATAACAGTAAGTTCCAAATAAATATTTTTTTCAATGAAAAAGAATGAATTAAAAGAAATCGAATTTACATCCTTTTTGCACCTGTTATTGCTACTAGGGATGGGTAAACGCAATGTAATTGTTCAATGTAGGAAATTATACAGGGACAGCACGACCTTTAACGTGCACAGTCCACAGGCCCTCCGTTTATTATCCCATCCGCACTTTTTCCATGCCAGCCCTTTCGAACCTCACCAGGGATTGGGATAAAATACTACTTATAATTTTTCGTTCAGTCTCACTCGGATTCAACATGGCTACGGAAAAAACATTATCGCTACGAAGATACGGCTTGGTAATTTATGTCATTAGCGAAACCTAATTGTTATTACCGTTCTATGATAGGAAGGGAGGGACATAACTCTATAGTTATGGTATGGCATGTTTAAACAATCTGGATTTTCGTTCAACCGCGCGATTTTATCGGGAACGGGAATGTGCGGATATACGAAGCTCCACTGTACTTATATACGTGGGTATATTGATACGCAGGGTGCGAACGGAAGACTTTTTTGTATTCATTGCGTTTGACATTTCCAACAGTCCTCGGTTGTATTTACTGTCATACAGACGCTAAAAATAGCAGATAAAATACTGTCATATCAGCTGATAATTGTTTACTATTTTTTTCAAATTTTATGAAATTTTTTTTCTTTCTCCAGAAACAGATAAAGGAGAAGTATGGAATTCGTGGAATACCTAATTTTACCTTATTAGATGGTGAAACAGGAGAAACCATCCACCAAAATGCAAGAAATGAAGTGACCTCTGATACCGAAGGAAAAAATTTTCCATGGAAGTAAAAATTTAATACATGTATAGGCCTATGCATATAATATTGTCATTACAATAGTTGGTATTTTTCATTTTTGTGATAAAAGTAAATGGAAATGTTGATGTTTCGTGTGTATGCACAATGCAGTTAATCTCAGCATTTTTTTTTCTCTATTTTTTCAATGTTATTAGGTCTGTTTTTCTTTGTTTAAGTTTAAACCATTGTGAGTCTGTTATTATTTTATCATATTGACAATTATTGTCGGATTTATTATTATAGAATTATTTATTAACATTACAAATTTTCTATCTCAAAATATAGATATTTTTATTGATAGATGTGTCAATTAACCCATGTCCACCAATAAAGAAACGAGGATGTGGGGATTTCAGTTATCCACCCTTGACAAATGTGTTACCCCAACCCTCAGTTAAACTGATCCGAGTATGGTATTCGCGACGGAATTTTCAGGAGAGGGGTTATATAGGCGAAAGCCTGTTCCCCAATCCTTTTCATATAATTGTGAAGAAAATATCGTTTAAAAAAAAAGGTTTTCAGAATAACGGAGGGAGTTATAACTGCCCTCTCCGGTCACTAGGTATCAGAGGGTTCATACAGGCAATATGCTCACTGGGGCATGGCAAAGACTTTCATGTAGCTTGATAATTAAAGCACCAAAAGTGCTGAGTTGGTGCATTTGAACATAATCCTATATAGACACCACGGCCTTTGTTTGGCGAACTCTATATTCACAGAGACAGGCCCGGATTTGTTAGATATGGGGGGGAAGTCATTACTCCTTACACACTTGGGCGCCATTTGGAATCCGCCCCAGAAAACAGTTTGACGAATTCGAAATTCAGATTCAGGACAAACGAGTAGCAAAGATTCAGAATCCAGTTTGGGATTGGCTAAAAAATCGCGCCCTAAGTTTCAGATAATGTATTTTTCTAACATTTATAAATCCAAAAAGAACTAGAGCCACACGTGGCACAGAGTGGGACTTTGCAAATGTAGCAAAATGCTAAAGACTCTGAAAAAATCAACCTTCTACGATAATTACATCACGCGCAAGATCAGTCTAAAGTTGAGAAGAATTGTTTGTAAGATTGTTATAACGGAAGTAGACAGCCCTCACAAATGAAAGTATCAGAAGATAGCCAAGGTCAATGACATTTGACATTGAAAGGGAGACGGTCAACAAAGGTCAAGGTTACGAGATACAAGTCATCCAAATTTTTAATTATATACGGCTATAAAACCGGAAGTTGAGATAGGACAGCAAATATAAAAGTATAAATAGATAGCCAATGTGAAGGATCCTACAAAAATCAGGGTCAAAAAAGGTCAAGGTCAAAAATTGAAAATTTTGAATTTTCAAAACCTGTTCCTTTTTTTGAACTATAAAGCTGAAACAATCGAACTTTTTAAGACAACGTGGCTCAACGAATGAAGTAATTGTATGCAAAGTTCCATTTTGAACAAATGTAAACGTTGCGAGTTATGTCCCTTGCCAAAATTGTCAATAATGAGTAATTTAACCCGGATGTGCTACGCCCACCTCAATTTCTTTTGCATAGGTTAATTGATATTCTGAATGTTATGTTGTGTTCCAAATTTAAAGCTTCTACATTATACAGGTCAAAAGATATAGGTCAACAAGAGTCAATAAAGGTCAAAATAGAAAATTGAAAATATAGAAATTTCAAAACCCGTTCCTTTTTTGGAACTATAAAGCTGAAACAATTGACCTATTAACACAAACTGGCCAAAATCATGAGGTAATTGTGTGCAAAGTTCCTTTTTGAACAAATGTATCCTATGCGAGTTATGCCCCTTTCCCAAAATGTAAACAATTAGTAATTCAACCCGGATGTGCCACGCCGACCTCAACTTTTTTGTCATAGGTTAATTCAAATTCAAATTGTCTTGTTGTGTTCCAAGTTTCAATGTTCTACATAAAATAGGTCATAAGATATATACACACCAAGCTCAAAGAAACAGAAATATTGTAAAAAAAACTCAAATTTGAAAAATTCACGAATTTCAATTTTGCTTTAAAAAACGATTGTTATAAATCACTTGAAAGAGCATGAAAAGCACATTAAGA